TTTCATCTCTTTTCTCCATATATACCCATGCCTAGAATACTAACTCTAGAATTCTGTTACTGGGACTCTTCAGGAGATGGTGTCTGTTTGGAATCAGCTGTTAGTATTAAGATAAGATAGCTCTGTGGTATATAGCTATCTCTTCTTTTTATTCTTTTCTCTTTCGATGGATCCTGCTAGATTCTACTTTATGTAAGTATGTAAGAGGATCAATCCATTTGACGGCTCAACACATTGTTATATAGTGAGATATGACAAAATACTTCCAGGATATAAGGTTAGAAATATATGACCACTGTGCCATAGTACATGTTTCTAGTTGGACTTTAGCAGTCTTACCTTTGTCTTCCCCCCCTATCATTTTGTATGAAAAAGATAGCAGAAGTTGGAACAATTCCAACGCTTAGTAGTAATCTCATAAACCGAAGTCTGTGATTCAACGTAGCCGCATGACTGCATTCGATAATAAAGACCAATATAGATGTAATTTGGGAGTGGCTAGCCAATCAATTCGCCGCCTGGATCACCATTCTGTCATCTGTTGTAGATGAATCTCAATGCATGACGTAGGGGCGGTTATCTACGGAGTATTTACTAAATGTTTTAGATCTAATAATTCTATATGCTACTCCGTACGGTCGATTCCTGGGCTTGAGTTGATAGAGTCAAGCTTGCCTTCTAGGTTACTGTAAAACATGCGTGGCAGCAAGTATGGAAGAATAAGCTGTACCCTCCATACAGTTATCAAACACTCCTCGAATGAACAGAAGGGGAGAAATAAAAAAGCACCTTATATTCGCAGCAAATACAGAAAATAGTACACTGTGCAGTGGAGCACCTGTCGCAACTCGCGTGTATGTGCCCGGCCCGATCCCAGGTATGTGGGGGAAATAAACTGGAGAATGCTGGAGAGGAGGGGGTAGCATGCAACCACTTTGTTATTAGGTTGGGGCTACGGGCCACGCTTTGCATACACCCGCATATACGCATGACCCCCCTATTCACGGAGAGTCGGGGTTGATCGACTATTTTTATATTTATTAATTATTCATTTAGGCGTTTTGCCCGGGAACGGTAGACTGGAAAATGAATAGACGGAGTAATACAGCCTCGTCGATGACACACCTACCCACGTCGTTTAAATAAGCCTGGAAGGGCGATCAGTGGCGGCAATGGCTGGCTTTACTAGGATGAGTCTGGTCTAGTGCTCACTGTCCGCCAGCGAGCGGCCTCGTATAAGCTTTTTCTTCCCTATCAGTTCAGTCAATCTGCTTGACGACACGGGTGGCTGAGTGACATGGATGTGAAATAAGATGTCAGGGGGAGATTGTGTGTGTAAGATTAGCTGTTCAGGATGTGTACGTAAATAGTGTTTACAACTGCTGGAGTGCTGGGAATCGTCGAGATCACTACCGATTTAGGAGATCCCAAGCAAAAGACTTGGAACGATGGCGGGGGCGCTGACAGTGTAAGCCTGACTTGCGTTTGTTATAGGGATCAGCGTGCCGAGATTGGAAATCCTGGGTGCGATCGCATGCAGCTGCTACCGTGGTCGCTTTTTGATGCCACCATTCGCATCCTTCGACTTCGAGAAGCTCGGGGGTTCTTGCGCCCGTGGAGATCCTCAGCGTTCTCAGTGTGTCTTGTGAGTGTACTCCCTACCGCCATATGGTGCTCACGGTCCTTTGCCCCATACGGGCTGTCAGAGAGTCTCCACGCTGGATTTCTTGGGACAACTTGGCCAACTGGGCCACCTGGATCAGCTGGTGGACCAACCAAGGCGGCGGACGACATCCATGGCAGTGCAGCCCAATGAGAATCACACCTCGAGTGCCAACCGTATCAAGAGTTGCCAGCCGATGCTTGGTGCTCCACCATGACGCTTGACCCTAGTAGTGCATCCTGCTGGCGCTCAGATAGTGAATGACCAGAGCCTGAGGCATATTGATGATCGATCAACCCGGGTTAACTGAATCAGGAATCGACCACACCACGCGGGGATCCATCTTCTCCATGTCTGATTGGCGAAGTGGTTACTTCCGTCGCATGATGCCCTAACTGTCTGCCCAGTGTCAGTGTTGCGCCCGGATTGCACTAAATTGTCAACGCGGATGGGGCTATCTAAATGGAGCAAGATCTGTTGTTTCTCTTCGTACATGAGACTGGGGGGCGCTCGCATATTTGAAGGTCGCAGCCTGCCCTTCACGATCGGGTCGACTTTCTGTCTCTCATTTCCAGCCATATTCGTTAGCATTACTGTCACGAGCCAGTGACCCCCTCCGCCACAATGTTTGGCATCCCTCTTTACTTTGGCATGCGAGGTAACACCCTGAACTGGGCCATCGGGTTTATTGCCGGTCTTGATTTCCTGTACATCCTCCCACCCTTTTCTTACCTGCTCACCGGGAAAACACGAGAACGTGCCCACTAACATGTGCCACACAAGGCTCTTCGGATATGACCAGGGCGTAACAGGTGGTCTGCTCGACCTCCCGTCGTTCGTGAAATATTTCCCTAAGATCAACCCCAAAGAGGAAGGCATTTCGGAGGCGGAGGAGACCGCGCGCAACACCTATCAAGGCATCGCAGTGGCTGCCTACAATCTGGGCTGCTTCCTGGGCGCCGTGTTCACCATCTTCGTCGGGAACCCGCTGGGCCGTCGGAAGACGATCTTCTGGGGGTCGGTCGTTATGACCATCGGTGCGCTGCTGCAGTGCTGCGCGTACGATCTGCCCCAGTGGATTGTCGGCCGCATCGTGACCGGATGGGGGAATGGCATGAACACCAGTACTGTGCCTACGTGGCAGTCGGAGACGGCGCAGGCGCATGCACGCGGCAAGCTCGTCATGGTCGAAGGCATGTTGATCACAGCGGGGATCACCATTAGCTATTGGTTGAATTATGGTGAGTCCATTACCGTCGACGACATCCCGCTTGGGAACGGAGGAAGAAAAGAGACTTAGAATCAGACAGGCATGGCATGGATTGGCGAAAACGAAGTCTCCTGGCGTTTCCCGCTCGCGTTCCAAATCGTCTTCGCCCTGATCATCTTCGGCACCATTCTCAACCTCCCCGAGTCACCGCGATGGCTCGTGATGCAGGGCCGCGACGAAGAAGCCATTGAAGTACTCGAGGTTCTCAATGAAAAAAACCGCGACGATCCGTTCATCCAGAACGAATACAGATCTGTGCAGCAGACTGTAAAAGAGATGTCCCGGGGCTCGTACCGCAGTCTCTTCCAAATGACCGAATACCGTGAATTCCACCGTGTGGCTCTGGCCTACGTCTGTCAGATGTTCCAGCAAATCTCGGGGATCAATCTTATTACTTACTACGTATGGCCAGCCACGTTTCCACATCCCCTGTCTCCACCTACTATGGTGAGGCTAAAGGCTGACTTCCCAGGCCCCGAAACTCTTCGACGAGATCAACCTTTCGGAAAACAACTACCCCAAGTTGATCGCCGCCTGCAACGGCACCGAGTACTTCCTGGCATCTCTGATTCCGATTTTCATCATCGAAATGGCAGGTCGTCGCAAGCTTATGCTGATTGGCGTGCGTCATCCTTTCCACCCACTCCAAGTCCAGATGTAATATACCATGCTAACGATGAATTGAACCTGAAGGCAGCGGGAATGTCCCTCTCCATGGTCGCCCTAGCGGTCAGCTACGAGCAGCTGCACCAGCCCGAAAAGAACATGAAGGCGGCTCCCGCGCAAATTGTCTTCTTGTTCGTCTTCAACAGCTTCTTCGCACTGGGCTGGCTAGGCATGACGTGGTTGTACCCGGCTGAGATTGTGCCTTTGCGTATCCGCGCACCGACTAATGCGTTGTCAACGAGGTATACCCCTTACTTCGATACCCGCGCCTTTGCAAGGCAGAACCACTCACACATGGAATGATGAATAGTGCAAACTGGATCTTCAACTTCCTCGTCGTAATGATCACCCCCATCGCGTTCAAGACAATCGGGTATAAGACCTATGTTATTTTCGCCGTGATGTACGTTCTCCCTCTCCCAAACCCCTCTTCCAAGAAACATAAAAGAAACGGTGAAGATACTAACAACCAAAGCAACGCTGTCATCTTCCCAATTGTATATTTCTTCTACCCCGAGACACGCTACCGCTCGCTCGAAGAAATGGACGACATCTTCAAGAAGACCACCAACGTGTTCAACGTCGTGCACCACTCTATTAAAGAGCCACACCGCTTTGACAAATACGGTCAGCTCAAGCCTGAGTATGCGGAGGAGGTGCGTCGCCAGAGTATCAAGGAGGCGGATGCGGATGATGTTCATGAGGCGGTTGAGAAGGCTTCCTAGGTGCACGTGGTAGTTGGATACAGCTTTGGTTTTAGTTGGATCGGTGTTTAAGCTTAGTATATACATATAATTTGTCAGTTTTTGTCTTGTGGATTGTGTATTGGCATTTTTTTTTGATTCTGTTTGGTTCCTCTTTTTTTTCTGGCCTTGGTTGAGGTGACGTATGGATTGTACAGAATCGAACCTAGTACCTTATGCATTGCCCTTTCAAAGTGAAAATTTGAGGAGATCAGAACGGTGAGATGGCTGTTGGATGCTAACATCTATTGCAATGGCTCCTTTCCGGAGGAGGATGGTTGCCCTAGCCACTTGAGACAGTAATTAGTAAAGGTAAATGAAAGTTTTTAAATATTGACAAGCAAAGTGTTCCCTCACTGCTCTGAACTGTCATTGTCTTGTTTATATCGTCGAAGATAGAATGCTGTGTATCTTGGAAAAGCGTAAGTCAACACAATTAGTTATTGATATCTTGGACAAAGGGAATCGCATGAACGTGTGACAATTGAGGAACAGTAAAGGCTCAGTCTGCAGAGACACGATAATAAAGGAGATACATGTTCAGTTGGGTTGGAAGTCAGGTGACAGTGGCCATTGGCTTGACTGATCGCAGTTATTGCCATCTCAAATAGGATGCAGCTTTGTTTCCAGACCAGAGTCCATCCCGTTTCTGCATTCTGTTCAAACCTCGAGAATTCGAATAGGTGGTGCATTGGGCTATTCGCAGCGAAAACCCAGCTAGTACTTATGTATTTATCAAGATCACTACATCCACGAACACAGACGTTACCAATTAAACAAACTCCAACCCAGCAGTAACATCCCCATACCTTCCAAAAAACATATCCGAGAAATAGTCCGTCCGCGCCACCCAAGGCCTCGCTGCAGACGCCCTAGGCATGTCCTTCTGCGCGCGCACCAGATACGTCGAAGACAGGCTCATCATTGGTTTCCCATCTGTCCCTTGCGCACGGTCACGAACAGGGACAACGGCGGTGAGTCCGCCCTTCTCGAGCAATTTCAGCATTCGACAGGTCAGCTGCATGCATGCGTCAGCGCCGAGCGTCCACGACGCGTTGACGTATCCGAGGGATAGGGCCGCGTTGGGCAGATCCTGCAGCATGAGGCCGTTCCACATGAATTTCTGGGGAATGTCGAGGGGTTTTCCGTTCACGGTGAGGGGGATGCCGCCGCAGATTTGCATTCTGAGGCCTGTGGCTGTCACGATTATATCTGCGGGAACATATGTGCCGCTGGAGAGACGAATACCGTGGGTGTCGACTGTGGAAATGGTATCTGTTTGGATAGCTGCCTTGCGGGACGCGAGGGCCTTGAAGAAATCCCCATCTGGGGAGGCGCAGAGACGCTGCTCCCAAGGGTTGTAGCGCGGCTTGAAGTGCGGGTTCAGGGGAACATCCGCGGGGAGTTGGGATCTCGCTCCGCGATCAAGGAATGCTCGTGCGGAGCCTGGGAAAGCACGGCAAAAGCGGAAGAAAAGCTGACCGAAAACGAGCCTGAATATTCGGCGGATGTAGTAGACGCAGGACTTGGGTAGGAGACGCGCCCACCAGGAGTTTTGTGAGGAATTAGGCACCGCGACAATGTAAGACGGGCTGCGTTGGAGCATTGTTACGAGCTCAGCGCGCTCGGCGAGCTTTGGGATGAGTGTTACTGCCGTTGCACCGCTGCCGATGACGACGATGCGCTTGTCGGTGTAGTCGAGGGACTCGGGCCAGAATTGCGGGTGGATGACCCGGCCCTCGAAGTGGTCAAGACCAGGGATGTCCGTTGTCAGGGGCTGGTGGTAGTCGTAGTAGCCCGTCGCGAAGATGATGAACCGGGCGTGGATGGTCTTGTCGACGCCGGCGTGTTGAACTTCTGCTGTCCATTGATTTTGGGCCCATTCCAACGACGAGACGCGGTGATTGAAGAGGATGTGGTCCTTGAGGCGATAGGTGGTGGCCGCATCGTCGAGGTACTCCAGGATATCAGCGCCCTCGGCGATCGGGTTCGATCGATTCCATCTGTGCCAGGAGAAGCCAAATGTGTAAAGATCCGAGTCGGACCGTATACCGGGGTAGCGAAACAGATCCCAGGTCCCACCTATATTATCGCGGGCTTCTAGGATAGCAAAGTGATAGTGTGGTAGCTCTGTCCTGAGGTGGTAGGCGGCGTTGATTCCAGATATACCTGCTCCGATAATAAGCACGTCGAGAGGCTTTTCTCCGGGTCGGTATGATTCAGTCATTTTGGCTGCAGATGTCTGAAGTTCTAGATGTGTTCAGTGATCGAGGCCACGGAGCGACGTGGCTTTACATATCGTGCAACCATCGATCCTGCCCCTTCGGTACACACTAGCACATTGGTCAGATGTGAAGTTTGCCAGAAGCTTTCCTCACAACAAAACACGTCCACTATCTGCAGGCGCCCACCGTTCAACGTATAGCCCGCAGTTGACAATGCGATTGGGTGAAGCGGATTCTTTTTACCCAAATAGGCAAAAGCCCTCCGACTATTTTGTGGAGATTGTTGATCAGTAAGATCTGCGGCGGCCCCTTTTGGCCCGATCGGGTTAAAACCTTCCGCCTCCAAACTGGTATGTATGCCGGCTGCCTGTTGCAGAATTCCTCCTGGGGGAATTGATGCGAGATTGCGCAAACATAGGGCTTATAGCTGAGGTAATTTTAGTCCACGGACCGAGGGACGCCGTGAGAAAGCCCTTAATAGTCGCATATAAAAAGGCCCAGAAAAACTTGTGAACGATGGCGTTAAAACCGCCTAGAGTGGCAGAAATTCGACATGACGAATAAACAATTCCAGGTGTTATTGCATACAGCACAGTCGTTGTTTTCTGGGCTACCAGAAGGAATCCAGAAAGTGCTGTTTAACTCCCGTGTACAAAAAGGTCTAGCATTGTTCATCGCCTTCCGACTTGCGAAAGGGGTCAACAGCTATCTTTCGAGGCGCGCGCAGAACAACTGGTTGACAATTGACCAGTGGGACCCGGCTACAGAGCTGGTAGCCCTCACGGGAGGAGCCAGTGGTATTGGCAAACAGATGGTGAAAGATCTCTCGCAACAAAATGTCAAGATCGTGATCCTGGATGTAACGGAGCCGGACTATCCGCTGCGTAAGTTGTTGTCCCGCGTGCGTCGAGTTTCGTTGCTTGGCTGACCGTTCTAAAGCCCCAAATGTCTTTGTCTACCAGGCAGACATCACCTCCCGAGCGGCCCTCAAACAAGTGGCAGACCAGATCAGGAAAGACCATGGTGACCCCACGGTCCTAATCAACAATGCCGGGGTAGCATTGGGAGGGTCCATCCTGGACGAATCTGACGAGCATATCCGCCGCACCATGGAAGTGAACACGCTTTCGCACTTTTGGACGGTTAAGGAGTTTCTACCTAGTATGGTCGAGAAGGATCACGGTCACATCATTACCGTGGCGAGCTTAGCCAGCTTTGTCAGCTTCGTGGGTTGTGTCGACTATTCCTGCTCAAAAGCCTCGGCCTTGGCCTTTCACGAGGGTCTTACCCAAGAAATTCGGCATATATACGGCTCGAGGAATGTTAGAACAAGGTGTGTACAAGCCAATGCCATTCTCCCTTGAGAAAAGACCACGTTGGTTGATCGGTGATTAGTGTTATTCATCCTCTCTGGGTTCGCACTCCGATGATTGAAAAGATGACGCAGGCTGGCAGCCACTGGAAAGAGCCAGTCTTAGAGCCTCATGAGATCTCATCTGCTGTGATTCGGCAAATTGTTTCCGGTAATGGTGGGCAGGTCGTGATTCCTGGCTCGTACGGGCTAACTGCGCTTGTGAGGGCGTATCCGAATTGGATCCAGGAATGGATTCGCAACACAGCGTCTGAGAAAATTGTCACTCTGCGGCGTCTTGAGAGAGAGATGAGTAAGTAGATGGGGTGCTGATATGAGTAACCCAAGTGGATGGCGATAAGTTCAAACTTTGTGATGATACAATCTGCACGATTATTTTGGCCAAGCATCTGGTATGAGCTAGTGTCACCTGCAAGCTCAGGGCAAAACTACAAATGTAGGACCACGATCGACCAACTCAAAGACCGAGCCATTGAAGCCGGACAACCTCTGTTCCCAAAAGTATCGATGAAAGGAGACTATTCGGTCAACGCAGACAGGACGGACATTTAGTCGAGTAGAGGATTTCCACATATCGTCTATCGAGAGTGGCACTTCCAGCAGTGCTAGAATCAAGGGCAGGCCGACGTTCTGAAGGGTAACGTCGCTGCCCTGTCTGCTGAAGAATGCAGTTCGCTCGGCCAGGATCTCATCTGCGAGAGACGCGGCGGTGTCGTCCTGGCAGGTTAGCGGGTAGCGTAGACGGTGGATGAGCAGCAGGCTTGCGAGTCTGTACATAACCGCCTGGGTACGCATCAAAGCGATTTCCATTTCGCTGCAGCTCAAGGTATCGAGCGCTCTGTAGTCTGGTGTCCACTGACGTATCTGAGCTTCAATAACATCGAGTCGCGAGACCCGATCAGGGTCTGTGCGCATTTCATGGCCGACCACACACAAGTCATAGAGAGTGGGCAGCAAGGACGCGCACAAGCCAGCCAGGCGGTCGACAACAGGCGCATCGCGCAGCTGTGGTCGAATCACCGGCACTTCCCGGTGTGCCAAACAGTCGACGATATCCCAAAAAAGAGGGCTAATTGTGACGGGGTCAAGGAACTGAATCCGTGCAAAACTGGGGTACCATGGTTTGACCAGAGACAAAGCGTATCTCAAAATAAAAATCGACCCTGCGAAAGTGACAAATAAGTCAAATGCCGCTAGGGCTTGACCCAGCATCAGGACCGCCAGAGCGTCCTGGGCGCTAGTGACCTCGACAGTGCGCAGCTTCTGCAGCGACCGGGCGCCGCCTTCGATATCCACTCGTTCCGAGGTCGTTCGGCTAAAGCGAGCCCACTCCAGGAACGTGTCCATCGTGATGAACATCTCGTGAAGCAGCCAAGGGGAATTCTGGTGGCAGTAATGTATCGCACGGTGGAAGTCCCGTGCGAAGGAAGATCCGAACATCCATATGTCTAGTGCTTCGTAGAAAGTTGCGTCGTCTAGATCTGGGAGGGACAGCTGCTGCTGGATTCCGCGGTCGTGGTTTACCTGGACTAGTTCTGCGGAATGGACTTCACGGGAATTGCTGGAGTTGGTCGACGACGGCTGTGCACGATGTTTTCTGTCCACTGTATTGCCAGTTGATGACTCCCAAATGTCAAATGTGCCTTCTTGGTTGGATAATCCGGTGTTAGGTGGTCGTCCAATGCGCCCCGGACGGCGTGTCCTGGTGCATTCCAGGGACGAAGTCTGGCAGCGAATGCATTGCATGGAGTCGGGGGCTGGGTGGCATTTTCTTTTTCGCCGGAAGCATTCGTCGCAAGCCCCCAGAGAGGACATCTTATGAATTGGAAGGCCAAAGAAGACAGACGAGTGTCATCTCAGGGATAGATGTAAGATTAATCATGGAGGTCGGTTCGGGTGAACATCCACCAATCAACGGCCTGAACTACCTACTAACGTACCGGATGTACACTATGCCATGGTATTTTCTGATATTTACGAAGATGGTCAAGTCTACGAACCATAATTATAGTAAAAGAGTGATAATTGATTTCATGTACAATTGACCGATACTATGCAGGATTGGGCACTGCATCCCGTGCTTTCACACAATATCAGCACGAAAAGATATGTACAGATATATACGCCAAGTAATAATAGACAACGGGTATTGAAAGGGGAAAAAAGCGATCGCGGCAAATGAGGCACGTCAAAGGACAGCCTCATAACTTCGCACTGGGTTCGATCTCATTCCGCCGCATCGATCGCGTCGATACATCTACGTCTCCAGCCTGCTCGGGCCGCTTTGTGTTCGCAAACATCTTCCGGCCGGTAAGGTCCGACATGATAAGCACCCGGGAGGAGACCGTCGCGCCGTCTCGTCGATTTTTACTACGTTCGTTAGCATGGGCACAGTCTGAGTGCGAGCCACTGGAAACATACCCTTCTCGTCGGGACTGTGCGATTAGCTCGATGAAGTCCCACAGGCGCCCGCGGGCTACCAGACGGTCTGTCGTCGGATCTCTCTGCGGCATCCACTCCGGTGCCAGGCGCATCATAGCCACTGAGCCTTTCTCCTTGCCCTTGGCCACGAGGATGATGCCTTCTTCGACGAAGCGCTGGTACGAGTTCTTGAGGGCCTCTTTGTTCACGGCTTCGAAGTATGAAAGGTCGCCTTGGTGGTAGAGGGTTTTGCCCAGCTGGGAGGTCGGTTAGCGAACCATTCCGCGAGGATTGCAAAAGAAAAAACTTACAAGCTGTGCGTTGTCCTGGGCCTTCTTGTAGTCGAGCCAGACATCTTGGGGAGCGTTGCGGGGTGGCGTCAGCCCCAGGAGAGACACGGCCCCCAGCCACGAAGCTTCAATGAACGGCCAGGTCAAGAAGCAGTAGAAGTCGTAGTTCTCGCGGCCGCAACGACGCTCGGCCTCGCTGAGTTCCACGAACTGAGGGGCCCCTGCGCTATCCCTAGTGATCGTGATCACATCGTCCTTCTCTAATCCTTGGAGAGTTTTCTCCAGATTGGTGGCTAAACCCTCGGGCGGGAAGATGAACTCGCCGCGGAAAAGCTGATAGGGCGTTAGCCATTGACTACTAGAAAGGGGTGAGATGGCATGCATACCTGGGAGAGGAAGGAGACCTGGCTGAGAAGGTCTGCAAAAGAGATCCTTTGGTTAGAAGGCCCGCCGCCTTGCTTGACCCTGGTATACATGGCCGAGGACACCAACGCCTCGGTGATGAAGAGATGGATGGTCATATTTCGGTAGAACGAAAGCTGGAAACGGTCCACTGCGTAGTAGGTCTGCTCCGCGAGACCACTGATCTCCCCAACAAGCTGCGGTCCCATCACCTCGAGCGCCCGGTCGATGACCACCTCGGTGGGGTAGCGGTAGAAGTGGGCGACCCGACCCCCCTTGGCGCGGACACGTTCACAGAGCCATTCGACGCGACGCACTAGTTCCCCCTTGCCGACACCGCGCCCACGGAGAGTCAGTAGCACCGTTCCCACCAGTGCAGTAGGCATCATCACGGAAGCATCATTGATGTCGGAGAGAACGCGATAACCCAAGGTCCGTAGAACGCGACCCCGGTCTGTATAGCTCAGGGGCTGTCCACTGATATGATCAGGGAGCCGCGTGAGTTGTTGACCAATGAACTCGCGAAGGCTCCAGGGCTCGTGGAAACGGACATCCACCCGACCGAGTTTCAGAGATAGGACCGAAGAGGACGAGAGGAAGTCCGACAGGTTTTCTTTCCGTTTGGGTTGACCAAGTAGCTCGCTGATATATGATCTGCGCGATGTCAGTAGGGGCACAAACATTTCCTATGTTCAGATACATACTCTGTCTCGATAACCTTGTCGTATTGCGTGCTGACCGGGCAGATGATCGTATCCTCAACGCGACCGGAGAGTACACTATCCAAGATGAAACTCAAAATACCGAATTTCGGCGACAGGAGTTTTCCGGTCCTCGACCGTCCGCCTTCGATGAAACACTCAAAGTTGAACCCCTGCTGCAACATGGTATCGATATACGACTGCACGACGGTATTGTAGAGCGGGTCATTCCCAAAGCTTCGTCGAATCCACATGGCACCTGTATCTATGAGCATTGGTCAACTAGAAGAGCGCTCCGAATCATACCTGCATGCTGTAAAAACGAGCCCAGCATAGGAAGGTTCAGATTATCGCCCGCCACAACCACCGGAAGACCGATCCCCAGACGGTAGCAGATCAGCTGGAGCGAGACGTAGTCCACGTGGGATTTGTGACAGGGTAAAAAGACAATCGAGCGCTTCTTCTTAGCAGCCTCTTCGGCCACCGACCGCAGACGGAGCACCTCCTCACTCGACACATGGATCCCCTGGTCATAAGCACGGGTCAGCAGCTGCGTACAGAGATAGTACGCGCCACGGATAAAACGCTTGCTCTCCATTTTGCAGATCATATTGTCCAGCATCGAATCCACCACCTCATTCAGATTCCGTTCAATCTCGCTCCGGCGATGCGCGCGCTTCTTCTCAAGCGGCCCCGGCTGGACGGATAGCAGTCCCTCCTTGTCTTCCACGCCCAATCGCACCTCCGCCAGTTCCTTGACCTTATTCTGCAGCAACGGACTGTCCAAGATGAGCGACTTCATGCGTTCCGAAAAACCGGAGTAGAAGATGGGCTGGCCGATCACATCGTCGTAGGCCCGCCACCCCGTGCCGGACATGTGTAGACTGACTTCCCGCAGGAAGTGGAAGGGGTTCTCGCGAAAGCGCGCCATGTGGTGGACCAGGTTCCGCTCGGTTATCTGGCCATCTTGCGGCTCCTTTTCTTCGTGGCCACCGGTGACCGCGCTGGGGTGGATGGTGAGCTTATCGCCGACGATTTCAAGATCTGGGGCGGACTGGCCCATTGGGCTCTTGTTCGATGCCATGGCCACGGGTGGCGGATGTCGGCGACGGCAACGTTCGCAGGTCAAATTGATCTGTCACCGTGATCTATCCAGCTCAACGTTCGAACTGGGCAGATGATGGATCAATATTCAGGCACAACACGGGCGGGATGACGGTTGAAACAACCGACTGGCCACGAAATATCGAGCAAAACGAGGAGAAAAGCAACGGAAGAGCTGCAATGAGTAACACAGCTGCAGAATGAGGTGCGGCGAATCCTGGACACTGGCGGGAAAGTCCCGGTTCGTAAGGGCGACTCTCACTGGCCACGATTCCCAACAAAAGGTAACGATCATCCCCGGTTTTACCCCAGAGGACCGAGGGCCGCGGTCACGTGGACGCGGTCATGCGGATACAAGGCCGTTGGTATGAATATTAGGTAACTATGCATGGCTGAGTCACCGAGAATAACCGCCCCGCTTCTCAACAAGCATTGAAGCCAACGATAGGAGAGGTATCCTCATTATTAGCCATCATGGTGATGCTCTGTCTTTAGAATACATTATAATAGATGGAATTTGGACATCTACAGCAGTCAACCGCCCCAATACCACACGTTAAACGGTATCATCGAGGACAGTACTTTTTCAAGACATCAGGCAATTATGTCATATATTAAACCGCCCCAACATGATCTCCCCGGCACACACTAACGGGAACAGGCAAGGCCCCGTAACTCAAGGCGCAGGTCCCTCCACTTACTGTATGACTCCACCAGCTTAGGACGAGAACCACGCCGCAGCCATCAGCACGCTTAAAGATCACATATTATCCTGCTGGGTCAACACCATGCAGAGCGGCGCCCTCGCCTTTCCGAAACATTTCACATTCCCTCGGTCCTCGTGATCCTTGTATTGATGCTGGCTGTAGCCCTCGGTCTCTCACCAGATGTGGTACTGATATCCGGGACGCTCCACAGCGGGACAATTCGACCCAAACCCATACGTGATTGATAGACAGCTCGACGACGACACCCACAATGTTCTCCTGGCGGAGGTCGGTCTTCAGTAAGGTCTCTCCTATATTTTCCCCCACTCTCTCCCAGCCCAGATCTGACGGTTTTTGTTCCAATTGACAGCCGCTGCCTCGTCCCTCCGGTACTCTTCGACAATGGCCACTCCATCGCACTCCTTCCAAGTCTTTCGGGAGGTGCCTCCCCTCCGACAATTCCGCAATGATCTCCGGCTCTCCCGTCGCACGGTCGGGTTCGTGCCTACAATGGGAGCCCTGCATGAAGGACATCTGTCGCTGGTACGTCAGGCCGCGGCCGAAAACACGGACGTTGTCGTCAGTATCTACGTCAATCCGACCCAGTTTGGCGTCAGTGAGGACCTGTCTAGCTACCCACGCACCTGGGACAGCGACGTGGCGAAGTTGGAGGAATTGAACAAGGAGCTCACCAATCAGGATGGCAACGCGGGCCGTGTCACAGCCATCTTGGCTCCGACCTCCAAAGTCATGTACCCGACTCTGCCGCCGTCATCCGAACCGGACGGGGACGGCTCATTTGTGACGATTTCTCCTTTGTCCCAGCGGCTGGAGGGCGCTTCACGACCGGTTTTCTTCCGAGGCGTCGCGACCGTCTGTATGAAGCTCTTCAACATCGTGATGGCCGACCGCGCCTACTTCGGCCAGAAGGACGTCCAGCAGACCGTTGTCATCAAGCGCATGGTGAAAGATTTCCATGTGGGAACCGAGATCCGCATCGTGAATACCGTTCGCGAACACGACGGACTAGCCATGAGCTCACGGAATGTGTATCTGGGTTCGCGGCGACGGTCGGTCGGCCTGGTCCTGTACGAAGCCCTGAAGGCTGCCGAATCCGCCTACCACGCGGGTAAGGTCACACGAAGCGATATCCTTGGCGCTGCCACTCTCGTGACCGACCGAGTTTTGTCGGAGCAAAAGGCTCTCTCGCCTGCTGAGCGGGCGCTGTACGATGTCGATTATATTTCCTTGGCTGATCCGGACACCCTGGACGAGGTGGAGGTGATTGATCCCGCCAAGGGAGCCATTCTCAGCGGCGCGGTCAAGATGGCACCGATCGAGGAATCGAAGGCCGGAGAAGACACAGGTCTGGGAGAAGGCAAAGTGCCGGTGCGACTGATTGACAACCTCACCCTTCAGCCTCGTGCTTAATTTGCCCCTCTGTGGCTTCTTTGCAGCAAGGAGTTACTCCTTTCTATACCCTGATGCTATCCGATAAATGGCATCTTTGTACTATTTCTGAAATCACACATGTATCTAGGAACCGCAATGTACTCCGTGAATAGATTTTTTTCAAAAAGAAGAGTTCCATATATATAATAACCCCAACCAATGATTTGCCAATTATACAAGCATACACGTTAGTAGAATTCCAAACATCAAAAGAAATGCCATGACCCCTCTCAATCAGGAAAGTAGGGCAAAAGTCGAGGGCTCGGGAGCAGATCGGGCCGAGAAAATTTCCCAGCAGCGTCCGAGCGCCTTTCTTCCACGCGGAAGAAAAGCAACAGAAGTCACTCACCCAATTCAAACACAACCACCAAGTCAGCCAAACAGGTCCTAATAACCATGGCGGACGACGGCCTGCTCCTGAACTTCTCCATCGGAGATAATCTCAACTACACGAAACAGGAGAAAAAAATCACTGGAGGAACCTGGCGCGACCGCCTCAGCGCAAAGAAAGCCGCCAAAGACCGACTGACAAAAGGACCGGGCGAAGAAGGCGCCGACAAATCCGAGAAACGGCCACCGCGCAACCCGAACCACGTTCCTCTTCCCTTATCACGGCCGCAGAAGCGACAGCGCACGGATGGCGGCGGCGGCGGCGGCGGTGGTGGTGGAAGCAGCGGGACGAAAAAATACCTCAGTACCGACTCGTTCCAATCGTCGCTGTTCACGTCGAACCCGGAACCGCAGAATGAAAGCGAGCACAAAAACGGAGCGGACGAGCCCGACGCGAAGCCTACCAATGCGCCTCTGATCGATGGGCTCGATACCTTCACCAACCTGGGCCTGACCCCGACTCTGGCGGCACATTTGCTCACGAAGCTGGAGTTGAAGGCACCGACGGCGATTCAGAAGGCGTCGATTGGGCAGCTGTTGAAGGAGGAGAGCGATGCGTTCATACAGGCTGAGACGGGATCCGGTAAGACGCTGGCGTATCTGCTGCCGCTGGTGCAGCGGATCATGGCGCTGTCGCGGTCTGCTCGGGAGGGGAATGCCGGGGAGGGGGAAGGGGGGGACGGGGTGCATAGGGACAGCGGACTGTTTGCGATTGTGCTGGCGCCGACGCGCGAGCTGTGTAAGCAGATTTCGGTCGTGTTGGAGGGCCTGCTGCGGTGTGCGCATTGGATTGTGGCGGGGACGGTCATCGGTGGGGAGAAGAAGAAGTCGGAGAAGGCGCGGCTGCGCAAGGGCCTGAATATCTTGGTTGCGACCCCGGGGCGACTGGCGGATCATTTGGAGAATACGGTTGCGCTGGACGTCAGTAATGTCCGGTGGCTGGTGCTCGATGAGGGCGATCGTCTTATGGAGTTGGGCTTTGAGCAGGAGCTGCAGGGGATTATTCAGAAGCTAGATGCGCGGCAGCGGCCGAGTCGCATTCCGGGGGTTCCGGCGAAGAGGGCGACGATCCTTTGCTCGGCTACGCTGAAGATGAATGTGCAGAAGCTGGGAGAGATCAGTTTGAAGGATGCGATCCACATCAAGGCCGATCCGGAGGACGAGGATGGAGAGTCTGGGGATGCGGACGGGGATGACGATGCGTTCAGGGTGCCCGCCCAGCTAAAGCAGTCCTACGCTCTTGTCCCATCGAAGCTGCGCCTCGTCGCTCTTACGGGTTTCTTAAAACGCACATTCATGAGAAAGGGGTCAGTGATGAAGGCCATCGTCTTCGTCTCCTGCGCCGACTCAGTCGATTTCCATTTCAAGCTATTCTCGAGACCAAAGGAGGAGGAAAAGACTTCCGACAAGGAAGAAAGCGACGCCGAAGAAAAACAAAAGACCACAGAAGCGTCCGCCAACGGGACAATCGCGCCCGCCACCGACTTCTCCAACCCTGCAAACCCCGTCACCCTCTACAGACTGCACGGCTCCCTTCCCCAGCACGTCCGAACCTCCACGCTCGGCTCATACGCCAAGAACCGCGAACCCTCCGTGTTAATCTGTACCGACGTGGCATCTCGTGGTCTCGATCTTCCCAACGTCGACCTAGTCATCGAATACGACCCGGCCTTCAGCGCCGAAGACCATCTTCACCGAATCGGACGTACAGCCCGTCTAGGACGAGACGGGCGCGCACTGCTCTTCCTCCAACCCGGCTGCGAAGAGAACTACGTCGACATCCTCAAACGCAGCTATCGCGACGGGGGGAAAACATTGGCTCGACACACCGCAAACGACATCCTCCAGCGTGGCTTCGGCGGAAACGTCCAGTCAGGAGGCAAAGGCAAGAACTGGGAAGTCAAGGCGACAGACTGGCAGATGGACGCAGAGCGCTGGGCCCTAGACAACCCGCAGAACCTGGAAATGGCGCGTCGCGCGTACCAGTCGCACATCCGCGCGTATGCCACGCATATCGCGAACGAGCGGCACATGTTCAACATCAAAGAATTGCACCTTGGTCATTTGGCCAAGGCGTTCGCCTTGCGTGATCGTCCCAGCAAGGTCAATGTACCCGGTTTGCGACAAGGCCAGGAAGACACGAAGAAGGACTTCAAGGCGAAGAGGAGCGGCGCCGGGACGAAGAGAAAGGCTGGTGATGATGATGGCGCTCGTGGTCCTGCACCGGACGCACCGACGGCCGCCCAGAAGATGCGGGCGAAGATGAGGGAGCACATGGGCGGAGCGAGCGAGTTCAATCTTGCGTAGTTCCGTGTTTTGAAAGAATAGAGAGAGAAAAAAAAAAGGGTAAAAGGAGAGGGACAGGAAAATGTATATAGCATGTCGCGTTCGAGGAACAATCCTCAATAGATATCCCACAATGAGATCTTGCCGTCTTTCGAGCCAGCAGCCAGCCAATGCGTATTCTGGACTTTTGCATTTCTCTGCCGTTGTAGTGCTGCTAGAGATGATCCCCCTTGTGTTAGCTGGGCCTCAGCTACTGCCTCGTCGCTCTTTGCTTGCTCCCCTGTTAACGACTCGCCCGTAGCAGAAGCATCAATCGCAGAAGGAACATCCGCAAACGCAACAACGTAACACCCCTCCTTATGCCATTTCAGCACAGCCAACTCCTTCATGCTTCTGCAGGAGTAAACGCGGACCCTAGAATCCCACCCCGCAGTCGCAAATATCTTTCCATCAGAGCGAATCCGCACCCCCTGCTGCCCCGCATGCTTAGTATTCACATTTTTCAAAGGAGTATCCTCCACAGCGCCCTGACCCCCCCGCAAAGACGCAAGCTGCGGCACAGGGTGCTTAACCAGAAGCGCATCGGCAGACGAGCTGACAAAGTACCCATCAGCAGCAAAGACATCAATCGCAAGAACAGGCTGGCTATGAGGCCGACAAGCGTAGATCTTCTCCCATTCCCACGGCCTCCCACCACCAGCCTCCCGCACAACCTTCGCACTGAGCTCCCCACGCCGCGCGAAAACAGCAATCCGCCCATCCTCATAACCAGCCGCGACGTAGAGCTGCTCTCCCGGGCCCCGCACGAACAGCTTAGCAGCCATCACCATCCCCGTCTTCACGGCCGGATCGGCAGGTATCGTGCATACGCGCTTCTCAACAGGGAGCTGGAAGATATCGAGAGCGCCGGAGTCGAGCGCGTTCGGCGCTGCTATCAACGCCGATGATGATAGCGGCGTAGCCTCTTCCTGCGTCTGACCTTCTGTCATTCCAGCGGAAGAAGCATCACTATCCTCAGCGAGAAACAGCAACGAGAACGCACAGAAATTCAGCGCATTCACAGGCAGCGAGTGCACCATCCACGGCTGAACACCTGTGCCGGTTGACTCCCCGCTGCCATCGCCGTCTACAACGCGATCGACGGGGAGGACTTTTTGAAGGATATCTTCGTCCTGGGCGCGGAAGCGCCATACGCGGAGTTTGTGGTCTCGACCGTGTCTATATCCATGATTAATACTTGTCATCTTCTCTTTGCACAGGCGAAGAAAACACGATGATGCGTCAGGAAGAAACGTACGTATATACCTCTGTCGCCGTGCCAAAGCCAGAACTCGACGCTTTAGCCTCTAGTACGGCCCCGTCGTGCGCCTTCCACGCCACCACTGGTCGCTTTGAGACCAGATCCCATACTACCACCCAGCCGTTTGCATCAGCTGAGACCAGACGGAGGTTGTCGTGGAAGACGTGCAAGGCGTGGATGGGGGCTGCGTGGCCGCGCAGAATGTAGACCGGTGTTGGGGGTTTGGGTGTGGTAGACATTGCTTGTTTTGATTCTGTAAGAGCTGCCCGGCCTGCAAGTATAACAATTGTGCAGATTTTGCAGTTGTCCCTTTATTTGGACTTCTGCATGGTCCTTGATATTTTGGCTGGGGTAGATGCTGTCGATTGTATTGGTGTATGTCGAGCGGAACGAGAGGAATGCTGTGGAGTGCCTGGGTCTTGGCATCTCTGATTGCTGCAATTGCGGTACGCATCTACAACTACTGCATGTCTTTGAAAAATCACGATAGTTATGAAAAAAATAAAATATACTTATCTTTTGGATCTTGGTTTCTATGGGATAAATGCGTACATCTACACAAGTTTGAAGAAGAAAACATCGATATCTGCTCTAAAGTCTTTAGCCTACTATATATATGTCAGGATATATATACTCAACTGAGCGCTCTAAAAATGAGACGAAAAAAAGATAAAACGAGAAAAAATCGTAAATTGACATTAAAAGTCGTAAGAAGAACATGAATATATAGAGTATGCTGATGATACGTATAACTAGATAAACATATCATTCAGAACCCGCACGAACGTTGATTGGATTCATGCGGCGCGACATAATATCCCTGATACGGGTGGTTGTCCATTGAAAAATCAGCGCAGGACATAATAGGGTTGATGATTCCGGGCGGCATCTTGAGCTGCGTATATACAGGCCCATAGGAATCAGAACTCGTGAAATTAGATGGGGACTCCATGCCGGAACAGCCAGCTGAATTCCAGCCCCAGACCTCTTGTAACTCGTGTTTGATAGATTCTGTTGGATAGCCTGTTTTCATGGCAATGCTGTTCAAGATCTGAAGTGTCTCTTCCTGCGTTTCTCTCGTCTTGAATGAATCTGCGGCAATTGCCAGGAAGCGCGTGGATAGACCGGCGATTCCTCTGGATAGCGCCTATTAATATTCGGCAGGTCATGTATGTAGATCTGGGGGACATACCGATCTTGAACTTGAGCTACGATTCCGCAGATATTGTGCGTATGACTTTGCTGCATGCTCTGCATCTCGGGGCTGAACTCCGACTCCAAGGGGTGGGTCTTGGCAAGAAGTATTCTTGTCGTGTGGTAAAATAACTGGGCGATGATGGCAGGATGCTTGACCAGCCTATATAAGGTGAGCACGTAGTATGTAAGCTTGTCGGGTAAAAGCGTACCATATCTGTGGGAACGCTGATTTGGTATTGGCTTGCCAGGGCTGCAAGTAAGCAAGAGGCATCATGGACCTTGGTGCAAGTTGGGCCCACTGATTGCACCACTCGTTATAAATGCACCATTCCTGGTATTGGTGGCCAAGTTCCGGCTCCTGACTCAGGCGTTCGTCGGCCTGAAATTGGAGCGAAGATGATCTGAAATTCGCCACTTTGGCGCAGATGTAGACCATGCGATGAGCCCACATTTCTTCCTTACCGGCAATACTCGGCCGGGCCTGGTGCATGTTCATGTCAACACCCCACAAGTCTGGATCCCAAGACGTTATCCATTTAGAGTGCAGGCAATCAAGGAGTTCCATTCCGACATTCAGCCAAAAGCACGCTCCGCCCAGGCCTGGCGTCTTTGCATCCCAATGACATTCCTTGATCAGTGCTCTGGCGCCAGCGATATGATCCATGCCGTACATGAACACCATTGATCCAGAACACATCGCTTCATAGACACTAAGAATCACTGCCGTTGTGGCACACAGGGCCGAATCACGTGTTGGGTCCTGTAGTGAGTGAAGCAGTTCTTTGTAGGCCGTATCGTGGAAATGTAAGGCCTGCTCTTCGCCATATGAAGCATTGACCCGTGACAGATGTCGCGCCGCACAGGCCATAACGGCTTGTAATAACATAGGCTCTTCCAGCGCATAGAATGGCAAGATATGTGAAAACTAGGTATGACAGTCAGAATTAGGAAAATTTACATCGTATTGGCTGCGTGACTTACGTAGTTTACGAAGTTCAACGAGTCCATCCATGGCCCTACTTCTTCCACAAAGGTTTGCAGGAGAAGCCTCTCGTCTGGTGTTTGAAGACATGTGTGATTAACAGCGTTTATTGCCTTTTGACTTGTTGACCGGAAAGGACTGAGTGTAGAATTTTGATAGTGATCATTGGACGGTGTCGTAGCGTGCGAATGTTGCTGGAATGTCATTTCTAAGCTCCCCAATGACTGAACAGCTCCATACACTGTTTGATCAGTTGTATTCAGCTCGACTGGCCCACCGAAGTAGGCGAAACTATGGAGATCCCCACCCAGCGAAATATCCTTCTCCGGAGTAGGATACCTCTCAAAGCCCCCGACATACTCTGACGCTATGCGCCTCGACTCGTCACAGATGGAAACAGGGTTCCATAGTGGCGGTTTGATATAATGAGGAGGGGCCGAAGTCTGAGTATCTATAAAATTGAGGCGAATCCCGCGTCGGCAGATTCGACCTGCCTTTCGGCAGTTGTGGCATCGATGCAGAGCTTCATCACATTTCAGATGGCGCTCACGACATGTTAAACAGCCTGTTCGTACCCGTTTTGGTTTCTTTGCACGGGCTTTGCTCCCGCTGGTGGGACCACGCGGCGCACTCAACGGGGTACTACCAGGAGTTAGTATACCGCTGGCTCCTGAGGGACTTTCCTGTTCTGCACCAATCTCTGTGGTTAGTTGGTCCGGACATGCAACTAGATCTGGTTCCGATTGGGCTCCGGCGGCGTCAATGTCCACAATTCCAGGGGTTCCAACAGCAATGTCGACGCCCAGAAGTGGCAGCACATTGCCGTCGCCAGCAGAGGCCATATCAAAGAGAGTTTATTGGTTCAACCTTGCTAGGATAAAGCATATCCAAGACCGCAGGGAGCGGTCCAACCAATGTCAGATCACGAACACGTGTATTGATTTGGGACCATGATGCTAGCGCAAGAACTGTTTTCTTCATTCAGCAACCAGTGTTTAAATATGTTTTGTTCAGGCTTACCGAATAAGTCCCCGAGCAAGTCAACGTTGTCATTTATGTTGGAGATAAAATGTTGATAAAGAAGCCGATCGGCACATGACCAGATCAATTCCGATCTGGGCACCTGAGGCTCAACACAATGCTGCTAACCGCGCTTAGTCATGTTGTATGCAAGGCCACTGTAAGATCCTTGAAAGATCAGGCTCCTGTTGAAGATAGGCAGAGAGTTCGAGCTGATTTTGTTCTTCTGTCTTATAATCTGACTCACTCACACTTCTCTGCCCGATGATGACCAAGGGACTATGGAACTTGCACGTTGATGGTATAGACTTCCCGTCACTAACCAAGCACTATTCAGTCATTGACACCGTTCTAGGGAAATGGTACCGCTGGTTCCACCCTCCCCGTGGGCACTCTCATTCCCCAGACGTGCCATCAATTCTGAAAACCGTCCGCAAAATTCTTTCAGGATCTAACAATTTCAAATGGGAGATTGTCCCATTTCCGACACCGCTTCATTTTCAACTCGATATTGTGTATACCGTTGACAGAGATGCTGGCCACATTACAGTAACCCGTTGGAGATCGGTGGATGGAGATCTATACCCGAGAGCCCAACGGGCAACGTTGATATGTGTCCAAGAGACGTCGCTCGGCACTTTGGAGGCTCTTCTGGAAGATGTGGTAGAGATTCATAAGCACTATAATCACTCACCGAGCAATGCACATGATGAAGTTGGCGTGCAACATTTATTGAAATCCTTTGGGATCGAGCCCATGAACCCCGCACCGCTAAACGAGCTGCAATTCAAGGTCTTTACGGACTTTATCCTCACATGGCGGTTCTATTTGGGCGACTTCTCTACCTGGGAACGCTCGTTTTCTCTATTCTCTAAACTTGCCATTGGACTGCTGCGTATCGCGGCATGGGACTTGGAGATTAGGAATACAGATTACCAAGACACCACCACACTTTCGTTCCTCCCGGGATGGAAGGCGCCAACCAACGACGTATTCTGGTTCCATAAATTTCTAGTTGTGTGCTGCAGCTCCGACGAAATTCGCACTTCAGTGGCTACAAAAACAGGGCATTTTGTATCTCACAGTAACGGTCAACCAGTGACTGTACACGGGATAGCTATTACCCTACGGCATGTCGCACTCTTTGAGATTCGCAATGGTGACATAATTCTTTCCCCCCCTATTCCTCTTGTTACCAATGAATCATCAATGTGCTGCTCCCCTGGGTTCAGGTTATTGGCGTATATATTTACTTCAAACCACCGGAAGGTATTATCAGAGCACTGGGGAGTTCCAATTCCCACGGAGCTTCTCGAGATGATTATAAAAGCATCCGCCCCGAGGCCGAAGGACTTGCTTTCAATGGCCCAGGCGTCTGCTCTGCTGGAGCAATGGTATTACTATTCCATTCTACGAATTAATGGCATCAATATGCACAAATACCCCCTCTCGATACCATGTTGCGGCGAGCGACACACACCAGACACCATTGGGATTTATTGCTCAGTCTGCTATGCCTGGTTTCATACTGAATGTGCATATCCGTCCTCTGATATGTCTTCCGAAACCGATAAATATATCTGCTCTGGTTGCCAGGAGAGCAGACCTTGCGCTGTTCTTGAGAGTGCAGGGATCCACCAAGCCTACCGTGCAAAGCGGGAACGGAAGGCATGCAGCGTGGTCCATGATGGAAAAGCTACAGATTTCCACCTGCGACCTTGCAAACCAACCCGTTACTTTCCAGATACATGGCACATGTTCGGGCTTGCCGCCCCTGCTCCAAAGAGAGCCGATTATACAATTTATTTCAGTGGGGTATTTTCCGGTCTTGCGTATGGATTTGATTAGTGGCACAGTGACTACACAAAGATTTGACAATAAGATGTTGGAATATCAGACAGGTTATGCCCTATACCACTCGTTGGTCAAAGTTTTGGCCTAGCGGTTGCGATGAGAATCATGGAAATAGATTGCCTCCTTCCAAATCGTCCGTCCCATAAATCAGTTCGAAATGGCGCTTAAAACATTCAGCGTGGATCCTGGATCTCATGTTGAAACAAATGTCAACATTTCATCAACTGAAACGCTGTCAATCCGCACATGGAACCTATTCCTGCATGGCTGAGAAGGGGGGCCCGTTGGATTGGACTAAATACCTGAACCGCCTAGAAGAGCGAGTCTAGAGAAAAAGAACCATTATTATTGAATTAGATATATATAGGAACCTCTATAGAGCAATGCAAAATCGCCAACATGCTTTTCGTATACATCATTCAGACACCATTCGACAGTCTTCCACCCCCTGGGCTCCAACCCATGCAACAAAACAAGCCACCAAATCAAAGTCTATCCAAAACAGCAAACTCTAGACCGGTTGCCATCCTCTAACGCAATGGACGACAAAATCACTGTTCGACCAATTCAAACAAACAAGGCTTAAGAAAACAACACATCAAGTTTCATGACATCATTCCGGAGCAACACCCCCAACCCGACTAAGCCGTTTCGCCTTGCTAAAGATGGGAGTAACAGCCGTCTTCCAAAACATTGACCAACTATCCCAGCTCCATGGCTGTTGAGTGTCCTCATTGCGCTGTTCGAGCTTGCTTGGTGTACTTTCGGCTTTTTTAGCAGTAAGCGCGGGATCTTCTGGTTTTCTTGTAGTGTTCGCGCTCCGAGATGGCTTGGGCTTGTCATCAGACTTGCCATCAGTTTTGCCATCAGTCTTGCCATCAGTCTTCCCATCAACAGGCGCACACTTAGACACCAAGTCCTTGGCACTCCCAGCGCACTGCTTGCACGTCAAAACCACAGGAATCATGTCGTCAGGATTCTTCTCGACGGGTTTATCCTTGCTGATCTGCTGAGTGCTAGTCGAGCCATCGCGATATCCAATCTTCTCCGCAATAGCCGTCGCAGACCGACCAATCGAATCCCTATCTCACCCAATCAGTACAAAATCAGTACATCCAACGAACCCCCCGAAAACCTACTCACTCACCGATACTCAATCTCCCTCTTCACCGCATCCCCCAGCATACGCTTCCTAGCGTCATCGTCCGCCGAGAGATACTCAGCGGAAACCTTTATCCGCCTCAACCGACGATTCACAGCCTGGCGGTCCGCATTGCGGGCATTATCCATGGTGCGGTCAGCGCCCGTGAGCCGAGCCGTTCGGGCGCGGGATTTGCGCGTGTATGGGTTTTCGGAGAGGTCTTCTTCGTGTTTGCGCTTCTTGTTGGGTGTCCCTGGGTGGGGACCTGGTATACCGCGGGGCATTTTCGATTATTGGTGGAAGAGGTATAGTAAGGATAGGTGGGGTTTTGAGGTATTAGTAGAATAGGTAGGTAGTATTAGTAGAATCAACAAGTATCAGTAGAATAAACAAGACAATAGGCACGCCTACCCATGGATGGGCGACTGGGAAAAAAAAAGCAGAGCCGTGGATACGGAACACGTGAATTGATTAGTGCATTGGGGGAGGCCCCACTCATGCATGACTGGTGAAAATTGTTTAACTAGTGCTGGGATAGGGCTATGTTTATTTGGAACGGTGATGTGAGTTACTGCGTTTGACTGTGTCCTTGCAGATTTGCATGGTTTGGCCACAAGAAAGCACTGTGCGCTATAGTATTAGCGGTAATTTTTTATCACCAGACTATAGTGTTGAATCTAAAATGGCTTGACAGGTAGACACTGGGACATGCATATTTCAGGAGTAAGTATCACCCTTGACGATCTACTCCCCGGGATGGAACAAGTTTGCTCACAGACCCATAACAGGCAATATAAACTTATTCAATACATTTATATCCTATATTAGATAAATCACCCATTCATCAAAACATTTACATCATTACCATATAATATGCGCCGATTTTTTTCCAATCTGTTCCCTAAACAGCACCGTGACATGCTACCGCGCAGACGGAGGGACTTACATGCAAAACATAATAGAAATAGTCCACACTCAACATTTACTTCCCAAACGGGGCAGTTTAACCCGCAAGTGCAGCATGAGCATGATTGCTCCGCAGACAGCGGCGAAAAGGAAAGTAGCTCTGAGAGCGGTGGCATATGCCCCGATCACTAGAGTCTGTCAGTGATTTGTTCTTGATATTAGCAAAAAAATGGCGCATACCTTGTTGCTGGTGCATCGGGTCGAGATTAACAATGGCCTGGACCGATTTACGGACAAGGGTAATGACACTGTCTTTGTCTGGACCGGTGACCGTCTCCTCGAGTTGGTACAGCAGCGTGTTCTGGAAAATCCAGCTACTCAGCGACACGCCCATGACAGACCCCAAGTTCCTCCACAGACCGAGAGTCGTCGTAGCGACAGCCTGCTCGTCTTGATCGCTAGTAGCCAATATAGACACCATCAATGACGGGAACGCGAATCCCTGGCCCAGACTCGAGAGCGACACGCACAGCATGGCGACTTGATCGGATGTGCCTATGCCCATTGTGGCTGCTGCGCAGCCGCCCAGGAAGAGAAGCACGTCGCCCACCATGACGGTCGGCTTGAGACGCTTGGTCCAGGTAATTAGAAATCCCGTGGAGACGCTGGATACCGTCACGGCGAGCGTGGACGCGACTAGTCTGAGTCCTGAGTCTGTAGGGCTGGCGAGCTTGACGGCCTGGAAGTAGAGTGGGGCGTTGAAGATCATGGTGTTGATGGAGATGGAGCCGAAGAAGTTTCCAAAGATGATGCTTGCGCGCGGGTTCTTCGAAAGCAGCGAGATGGGCATGACGGCGCGCTCGACGTTGCGCTCGTAGCGCACGAAGACCACAGCTAAGACCATTGATAAGATCAAGGACGAGATGACCAGGGGATGGGTCCAGCTGAAGACATTACCGCCCAGGTTGAGGCCCATGATCAGGGCCGTGACGCCTAGAACGAGCATCACGGACCCAACGAGGTCCATGCTGCCGAGAAGTTGCCTGAAAGTCATGCGCTCGACGCGGGCGTGCTTGACGCCTAGGTCGCTGGGGGTGGTCCACGCCGCCACTAGGAAGTAAATGAAGATGAAGGGCAGTTGCACGTAGAACGCACCTCTCCACCCTACCTGGTCGCACAGGAACCCGCCAAAGGCGAGACCCAGACAGCCGCCGATGCCGAGACAGAGATTGATGTAGGATTGGTAGACGCCGCGGTATTCGAGGCGCACTAGGTCGCTGGAGAGGATCATGCCCATGGAGAAGACGCCGCCTGCGCCGAGGCCGCAGAAGGCGCGCGCGGCGATGAAGCTGCCGATGCTTTGCGCCATGGCGCACCAGGCAGTCGTCACGAAGAACACGGCAATGGCGAAGAGATAGACAGGCTTGCGGCCGAGCGTGTCCGAGATCCGTCCAAAGAGTGGGAGGAAGGCTGTGGACGTCAGGAGGAACGCTGTCGACAGCCACGACGCCGAGTTGGAGGCGTGAAAGTGTGATGTGATGACTGGATGACTCGACGCCATGAGGGTGGAATCGAAGAACCCAATGATGTATCCTATGAGGATGCCCGAGAAGATTAACCAAAACCTCATGGGTGATACGTTGATGAATCGCGAGGCATAGTTCTTGTCTGTCCCCGATGGGCCGCCTTCGGCGTCTGCTGTCGTCTTTCGGACCGCCTCTATCGACGGAATTCTCTGCAGGCTTGGCTCAATCTCCAAACCAGCTGGGACCGAGTCGACTTGTGTCAGAGTCGGGAATGTCGCATCTTCTTCTGCTGTTGGTATCGTCGAATATGAACTCGGTTGGAAGCCTTGATCAGTCTCAGAGTAGGGAGGTGGCTGAAGTAGCGGAGTGGACTCGTTCAGCTCCGACGGCAGTTTTGAGTCCCCCGCCATCATTCAGTGATATTCACAGAACCGCGGGAAAAAGATGTTGTTCAAGCAAGCAATAGTAATACGTCGCAATCAAACAGTGCACTGGGTCGTTTAATTTACTAGATAGAGGACGGGTTCCGGAGAGAGATAGTTTTTCTTCTAGATCTCGGGAGGGTGAAGAGTTTTTAAATCTCTCAATGGGACTTCTGTCTTAGATTGTGATTGATTTCCACCGAGGCTTCTGATAAGAAAAAAAAAAAAAAAAAACAAGAAGGGATAGCCCCCATTATAGTGCTTGTTCATATTAATATTTCTATTTTTTCACCGTTTTGATAAGCAGATGACTGACTCCACTAATGCAGGCTGTAAAAAATGACTCGATGGGGCCTGAGGTTCTCCACCATCTGATAGGCTCTTTTGACCTCATGAGAATTCCGCTCAGCCAAACAAAAACCAATCGAATCCAATCCCCCTTTCACTTATTTTCAATGTCTCACGCATCTGTTTGCCTGTTTGATGAACCCATGCATACTGTTATTCTCAAGGTAATCTTATGATAGTTCTTCTCCCGATCAGGAGTATTATCACCACACTCCGATCTCAAAGCTGGTCTACATCCAGCTATAGATCAGCTACCCCGCTCTATAGTAAGTAGTCGACGATGGACGGACTGCCAGTACTAACCTACTCTCAGTCAAGTGGACTAACTGCGGGGGTCCTTACCGACCTCGGAGGGTGTCTCCGCTGCCGCTTTCCTCCTACTCATCCAACCGCAGTTGACTTATTCTAGCTCGGATTTTCTCAGCTCCCCACATCGTGTATGAACGCCCGGCCCTAACGAGGTAGCACATCAGACCCTGACCTCTGTTACTTGAATTCGTTACTATTACAAATCAAGTATATCCCATGACAAGAGGGCATAAAGTGTCTATCGAAGTGACCTTGTTCTCCAAACATGGTTTGTAAGCCCCATACTATGAACAGTGGCCAGAACCCCAGTAAAACGACTCGGTACGTGGTATGTGCGGCGGATAGTCATTGCTTGGTTGTAGTTTAGACCCCGCACGGACCTTTGCATAGCCGTATATCCGCCCTTGTAAGGAGTACAATTCCTGTCTCATGCATGATGCCTGTCTCTACTGCAAGATGAGAGCCGTGGCTGACCACGTCCAATGGTAGAGTCCATTGTTTTGGATTTTACCCCCAGGCTCTATCGCACAGCCAGTGAGTCATTTATTGCATCGATTGCTCACCATATCTCTAGTTAGGTGCAGACAATCCTTGGCCCGTGCTGGGGTCGGATTTGCGACCTACTCTTTTCCCTGGATGGCGTACGGAGTCTACTAACTAGATATTATGGGACATGTTAAAACCTGAAGATGCGGAAAAATTCCGCGGTTGGTTTCAGGACGATGCGGCTTTTATATGCCCCCAGTCAACTAGATACGCTAAGGATGCAGTACATGGATATCTTACAGTGAGTAGCCTACAGACTCTGCTTTAGTACTTGACGCCGACTCTACAAATACACGGTAACTGTAGAGTCTTTGGACATCATTATCTGAACCTGTCTTCAAAACAGCTGTCTTTCTGTGTATCTGATTGGATGTAGTGGCGTCCACCGTGTCGTCACTTGCCATCTGTCGTGGTATGGGTTGGCCGGGATTAGGGTTAGTGACGTATTATTCACCTAAGATGTATAAATGCCAAAGACGTGACTTTCGACATCCTCGTCCCCATAGCCATCGAGTCCTCCATCTGTATGGACCACCAACATCCTCCAATTCCGATAGCTAACTATCTACCTACCAGGCCCAGCAACACCACGACAAGGATGGCTAGAAATATCTCCCCCCCAACTTTCCACCCCCCTCGCCAATGGCCGGAAAATTCATGGCATGGGATGGGACCATACCACCGATGGTCCAACAAGAGGACCGCCCCTTCCGAGAAAAATGGTTCTTTTTCTACGGACCCATGACAGGGCCAGCTGTCCTGAAGCAGCTGCTCAACCGCTCGCAAATGTCTGCGCTTCCCCACGCCATGATCTTCGGCCACAAGATATTACATTGGGGCGACTTACCGGTGGCTATTCAAATGGGGGCGGAGAATGCTGTTGGTGGGGTCGTCTGCAAGATTGTATCGCAGGATGAACTCGACTGGCTGGAAGGTTATATGACTAGAATCTTCCAAGTCGATGGCTGTATGGCGTGGCTGGATAATCACTCGCAGGTTTCGGGGTTTGTGTTTGTTTGGGATGGTGAGATGTCGCTTCTGAGCGAAAGTCCCCAGATTTTCTGATTGTGTTCGGTCATAAGGACTTTAGGGCTTCGTGACCGGAACTATGTATTTATATTCCAGTATTCTGTAAACATACTATGGTCTAACCCCAAGATAATGATAAGTTAGATACTACTTATATGTTGTAAATATTAAAGGGAAAATATCATGACACTTTGACCATGGGAAGTAACCATATATCCAGTGTGACAGCAGTATAACAGTTGGCTATTTGTCTAATAAATCCTAGATAGCCGGTTGACTTACACACTCTATCAACATGATTGCTTTCTGCCAATAGTCGATGCTCTCAAGAGAGCGCCCCATTTCTACATCAATCAGAGCTTCATGAAAGATTTAATCAACTAGACCTGCTGCGTTTTCGTGTGACTTTGACTTTATGAGGGTACTAAACAAGATGCTTGTCACCCACGACAGGTAGCTCCTGAAAAGGGTCATAACGCTAAGACCGGCAATAGAATCAGTTAAGTACGGTTGATATCATAAAGCACCATCACTTCCAAACAGAAGACTCACTTTCATGGATATTAGGTTTTTAACATCAGCTTGTGCTCTATTTCTTGCCAGCTTTTCCTGCTCTGCACCTGCAGGGTTGAAAGCATGGACAGCTCGCGGGCGTCGTGACCCATATTTACCGTGAAAAAGTGGAAGTAGAATATCAGGTGTGTCTTCTGTGATAAACTTCCAGAGTCCAGTAATATCTTCTGTGTGCTGTAAAATCTTGGATGTACTGACTCCCAATGCCGCCTTGACAAACTGGATAATCGTATCAATCCATGTGATGCATGGACCATTTGTACGAACCCCTGGTCCACGCCGAAATTCAACAGTCTGGATTCTGCCGCAGGATAGGTTGACGAAATTCCAACTGTAATAACGATCACCTTTATTGTTGAGGATGTCAGTAACATGCACAGGCTGTGTGCAGTTATCTATTTCCTGGAACATCTCAACTCCAGACTTCTCTTTTAAGCGCGAATTGTCAAGATGATTACTTCTGGCATATTCATTTCTGCGCCTCTCAGCCAGATAAATGACTTTGATCATAGATATTATTCTTGAAGATACGAAGGTTGACAGTTATATCCCAGAAATAAAAGTAAAGCTGCATGAGAAGACTTTGCAGATAACCTGACATTTGGTCAATTGCATTCACTGATTTCATATACAATACACAACAGATAATATACTATAAACTTCAAGCAAGTAAAGATCACAGGTTAGCTCTTCCTTCGTGTATTCAGTAGATCATCTCTGCCAAAGATAAAACAAGGAATTGAGTGATCAAGTGTGAAAAGAAGTGAATGAAAAGAGTGAAAGAAAGTTCCTATCTTTTAGTCACCACAAAACACCAAATGTAAGAATCAAATTCAATACAGTGACATGAGTCAGAAAGCCAATACAAAGGATTGCCATACTTCAAATGGCCTTTCTACCGATGGTCCAGTTCCAGATCCAACCTGCGAGATGGGAACAAGACCACCAGGAGGTATCCGGGACCTCGCAGCGCTGTATAGTTTTTTTTGTGGACACGCACTCCAACCTCTAGATACAACGTTGATATCTATTATACCCCACGCGACAAAACCCGGGACAAATCGGACGGGAGTATAGAAGAATTCACCGACAGCAATCACATATCCCTATTTACAACGATTAGATCAACTATATATATATGCCGATTTAAAGCGTTATAATGGACAGTCTCAACCCCGTTTCGACCGGCCCTACAAGCTTGATAAAGCAACGAGATCATATACATGATTCTTTCCTATATAATCCTGTAATAAAATATTGTATAACAACTTGAAGGCAAATCAACAAAGAAAAGGTACGGCACGTGGAACACGCTTACTAAGTCCTTGTGAGGTCATAGTACCTTACTAGTCCCCCTGGTTTGCCCCTTCAGACCATCAACGTCGCCTCTAACACCGTTATCACCATGCGCCCCCCGCTCCGAATCGCCGTCTTGGAATGCGACAAGCCAGCGGGCAGTCTCGATGCCAAGTATAACGGCTACTATGGGGTGTTTTCGCTTTTGCTGCGCGAGAGCGCAGAGGCCTTGAGGCAGCCGGACAGGCTGGACCCCACGTCCGGATTCGATATCTCGCGCTGGGACGTGGTGACTAAACAGGAGTATCCCAACTTGGAGGATGTAGATGCTCTTCTTTTGACTGGATCCAGTAAGTTGTTAGCTCTTCCGTGGGGCCTTGATGTATAGTTAAGATGTAGTTGCCAGGATATAGTTTGATCCTGTAGTTGGTTGTCAAGGCGCCTGGTGGCAAATATAACTCGTTATACTAAGTCTATCCTTCCAGAACACAACTCCTACGACAACCATCCCTGGATTATCAAGCTTGTGGAATACACAAGAAAGGCGATTGAGCATAACCGTGTCAAGATACTGGGTATCTGCTTCGGACACCAGATCATCGCGCGAGCGTCTGGGATGAAGGTCGGCAAAAGTGGCGTGGGATGGGAGATCGCAGTGTGTGACATGGATTTGAGTGATCGGGGTAAGGAAATATTCGGCAAGGAGAAACTGGTAAGTCCCTTTATTTCACGCCTTGGTCAGATTGCTTGGTTCCACTTTGGAGTCATCTTGTCGGTCCAGTGCTGATACCGAGTTCCATCTGCAGCGCATCCAGCAGATGCATCAGGACATTGTCTTCGACTGCCCCCCGAATGCCACCTGCCTCGGCTCGTCGCCACAATGCGCGATCCAAGGGATGTACCTGCCTGGTCATTACATTACGGTGCAAGGACATCCCGAGTTCAGAGAAGACATGGTGACGGAGATTATCGGTCTCAGAATGGCAAGCAGTGTCTTCTCAAAAGAGGTAGGCGAAGAAGCTTTGAATAGGGCCGTGAAGGAACACGATGGCGTCGCAATCATGGCCACCTTTTTGGATTTTCTGCTGGACGACAGCAAATAAATTGCTTGACATAGATTGCGTTTGGGAGGATTTTGATACCTTTGATAGAAGCAACCCTTTGAAGATATATAGACAGCGATCCTTCAATTAACCGCATTTGCACCAAAGTCGCGCCGCCTATGGATTATAACCAGAAACTGCAGAATCATATAGACAACGTACATTAATCCCGACAAATAACATGTCTTTCACGCTTTTAAAAGGAGATATCCAAAACCCAAAATACAGCACCAATTACCCCGAAACTTCTCAACCCGACTGCGACGGATCCTCACGTTCCAAAAAGCTCGGATCCAAATCCACCTTGCGCTCAAACTTCGTCCACCAATCGCGAAAGCTCTTCAACGGCACGACATCCTCGCCCTTATCCGCCGTCGCAAAGCTCGCCAGGAAGTTGAACGCATTGCCAATAATCCGCTGCGCCAGCACCTTGGTCGTCATCTGCTGCTGCGGTCTCGTCTGTCGCACGAGCTGCTTCGACGGCCCCGCGCTAGCCTTCTCCGCCTCCAGCGCAGCCAGCTGCGGCGCGACGTTCTGCACAGGCTCGAGGGAGATACCCAGCGTCACCATGGCGTCGGGCGGGCCGCTCGCGGGGTTCTCGTCTTGCATCGCATCGTCGTCCTGGGCTCCGGTATTGTTGGGACGTGGCGGGCGCACGCTGAATATCGACGAGGGCTTCTCGTTCGCTAATGCGCCGATGAAGCGGAATTCGGGCCCCGTGGGCGGTGCGTTCGCGTCTGGTAGCTGGATGTACACTGCTGCTGCGGTGTCTGGGGGGAGGACTGTTCCGGGGAGGAGGAAGACGACGAGCTCGGTGAAGGCGGGGTAGAGGGGGAATGTGAAGGCGAATTTGGTTGCTTGGCCGTTGGGCTGTCCGTCTACTGCGACGATGTCTGTTAGACAGGGTCGGTCTGGGACGATGACGGAGAACATGATCTGCGGAGGGGTAGGAGGGGTCTCGATCGCGATGTGGGAGGTAGGTGAGGGGTGAGAGGTGAACTGGTTGGTTTATAGGTTATGAGAGGGTCAGAAAGCTATTAGCGACGATCAGTATACATTGTTTCCAGAGAGCTACAGAGCTCTTTCTAGAACTGACTGGTTTTTTTTCCGCGATGAAAGGCGCACGGTGACGAAATAGACCGGGTGGATGCCTTATCGATAAGGCTGGCATCCGCTGCCCGCCCCTCTTCTCCGGCATCTTGATCTCCGGCCATGTTTATCGCGGTCCGCATTTGGTTACCATATTGCAAGCATTGACTTGTGTGCTTGTTATTCCCTCGACGCCATGGGTAAATCAAACCTTGATCTCGTTAAAGAATGCGACAGGTGCTTCTTATTGTTCTATACTAGCGATGCAATCTTCTGACCTTCTATAGATTCCCGTATTACGCGGATGACCCCGCGTTCTACACGGCCCATATGCGCAACTACCATGCCTTTAGGGTTAACGGATGCGATGCCAACCTAGGATACATGCTAAACTCCGTCGTAAAGAAGCTTGAACTGCCCGAAGGCTCCTGGGCGATCGACTCCACCAACCAGACCGTCACGCTCATGACTGACCGTGACGCGACACCGGAGCAACGCAGTCAACTGATGGCCGAGACGCTCGCAGTGGCCGTGAAGCGGGATACGTTTGAGATATTGCGAGGATGGCGGAATGAAAAATATCCCGTCTACGCTCCAGGCGGCAAGTTTCTCCTGGAGGTAGAACGCTCCGCAACCCCGCTTTTTGGCTTCGTGTCCTACGGCGTCCATGCCACCTGCTATGTGAACGACGACAACGGCTTGCGACTCTGGATCCCTAGGCGATCGAAGACGAAGCAGACCTACCCTGGTATGCTGGACAATTCGGTGGCGGGTGGGATGAGCACAGATGAACACCCGGGTGAATGCCTCGTCCGCGAGGCCATGGAGGAGGCATCGCTTCCTGAGGATGTCGTGCGGAAGAACTCCACGGCTGCTGGGTGTGTTACTTATTTCTACGTTCGGAGTGCTCAGGCGGGGGGTGAGACCGACCTGTTGCAGCCTGAGGTGGAATACATCTACGATCTCAAACTGAGCGCCGATGTTGTTCCCAAGCCTTGCGACTCCGAGGTGGAGCAGTTCTACCTGATGACCGTTGACGAAGTCCAAGCGGCTTTGGCAAATGGAGAGTTCAAGCCTAACTGTTCCGTTGTTCTGATCGACTTTTTCCTCCGACACGGGATCCTGACTCCCGAGAACGAGCCCAACTTTCTGGACATCATCTCCAGGATTCACCGCCGTTTGGAGTTCCCCACTGCCTCTCATTTTGAGGGTTAGACAGCATCCGATAGCAAGCAATAGACGTATCTTCGAAACCTGCAGAATACAACATCCGATATATTCTATCTGATACCCAGTCACCAAATCTAACGCCAACGCTGCAATATAAATCATCCCAGAAATGCAAACCGACTTTTTTTCTTTGACGACCCATGAAGCCAATTCAAACCAAATATCCACATCGCGACACAGGAAAAAAAGTGAACGGTTGAAATTGTAATTATTTCTTCAGGAGCAGATACACGTAGTCGATCCTCAAAGGTGCCAGCTTCTTATAGGGGCCTTCAAGGTAGAGCAACAGACCACCGAAGGAGATGAAAACCGCCCTGTACAAATCCTAGTTAATAAACGCATTCCATAATGCCCACAATCAAGGTGGGAATCTGTTGAGACACTTACATGTTTCCCTCACCTGCACCCTCTTCAAATCGGTAGACCTTGCCGTGGCAAACATAGTCATAGTCGTTGGCCAAAGTCTGCTCGCCCATTCCGACCTCTCTCCAGCCCTTCGAGCCCGTGTCCTCCTTGCCATCCAGGGACAGTGTCGACGCAAGCGCCATAGAAACCGACTCGCCAATCGCACACGGATACAGCTCCGTGTTGACATCGAGAGTGAAGGACGTCAAGGCGTCGGAGGAGGTGCACGTCAGGCGGGAGACACGGTCATATTTCTGCGCGTTGATCCCGGTGATCGTGAAGGTGTCTTCGAAGAGGAGCGGATCCGACATGTTCGCGGCGGTGCGATCGACGCAGTATTGATATTGAGTTTCTGAAAATTGGCGCTTTGAGAGATGCGCTGGATAAATTGCGCGACAAGAAGCGTTCGTGTCGCGGTAAAAATGGCGGAAATTGGAGAAATCAGGAAGGTCGTCTGGGCTGCCCGCAACTTTTTTTGCTAGACTTTTAGTGCACCGCCGCTTTTAGGCCCGAGCTCCGCCTTCACCTTACTGCCCCGCAGCAAATCACATCCGGCCGCGCAGAAAAAAAGAAAGAATTCTATGATCGCAGTCACAACGAACACTACCAGATACTGATTATATGCACAATGTCCTTTCGGAAAAGGAACATAGGGCTGTCGGCCGGTGCCGATCGAGCTCCAGCTCCTAATGCTTCTACAGCCCAGCCGGAACAAGCTTCAGCGACGCCAGAATCGAACCCGGGAATCCGACCGTCGCCCGATGATGGACGGCCGACTACTTCGACGGGGTCGCTCTCGTTGGATAATCTGCTAGCGGGTCATGGGGGTCTTCCAATTGGGAAGATGCTTTTGATTGAGGAGAGTGGGACTACGGATTTTGCGGGCGCGTTACTTCGGTACTATGCTGCTGAAGGTGTGGTGCAGGATCAAAAAATCCACGTCATTGGCATGCCTGAACAATGGGGGAGAAGTCTTCCGGGCTTGTTAGGACCGGCTGATGCCGGGGACGAGAAAAAGTCTGATAGACGCAAAGGAGATCGCATGAAAATTGCCTGGCGATATGAGCGCCTGGGCGAGTTTGGTGCTGGTGTCGCAGGATCCAGAGGTTGGTCTTCCCCGATGAAACGGAACGGGCGCGTTCGAGGAACCCAAACACTGACAAGAGTAGCCCCAGCTGCAACCTCAGGAGATCAAACAATGACGGACGGGGTCCAGCCGGCATTTTGCCATTCCTTCGACCTTACGAAGCGCCTCACGCATCCCTCGATCGCAAACATCAATTATATCCCCCTCGTCCCATCCAACGAACCGCTCTTCGCCTCCATACACAAAAGGCTGCAGCAAGCCATTTCACAAAGCCCGCCCAATACAGCGCACCGCGTTATCATTCCTTCTCTTCTGAATCCCACATTATACCCCCCGGAAACCAGCCAGCCCGATATCCTCCTCCCGTTTCTCCATTCCTTGAAAGCCCTCTTGAGTGCGCCTACCACCCGAATCACAGCAATGGTCACGATCCCGTTGTCACTCTTTAGCCGATCATCCGGACTCGTGCGGTGGATGGAGATAATAAGTGATGGGGTTATTGAGCTCTGTCCGTTTCCCCATTCCGCCGACGCTCTTGGGGCATCCGGTGCTGCGACGTCCCACGAAGAGCCTCCACAGGGGATGTTGAAAACCCATCGACTACCGGTATTGCATGAACGAGGCGGTGGCAGTGACCAGAACATCGGACAAGACTGGGCCTTCACTCTCAGCCGGAGGAAATTCGAGATCAAACCGTTCAGTTTACCACCCGCGGAAGGAGATAAAGAAGCTCAGGACGGGGCCGCTTCCGGCGGGATGCCTAAAAAGGCCGATTTGGAGTTCTGATGGAATGATATATCATCACAGAAAGTGACAGGCGGAAACATAAGGCTGGTGGATCATTCCTCGGGATCCGATTCTGCCAGCATATTCTCTAGTTCGATCTGTTCGGACATGGCGGGCCCGGAATTGGCCATTGTTCGGAGATAGTTCCTCCCATAGGCATCAGTACTGGGTCTCAATGAGAATCCTGGTAGTCGGGAGCGAAGACGACCTCCTAAACAAGACGAAGCAACAAGCCACCCTGCGAGTTGTCAGCGAACCTATGCGGTTACGGACCACGACACGAGCCATGTATATAGTACAATACTCACCTACGAGCAATATGAGAGGTGCGAAAAAAACCAGGAACATCAATAGAAAGAAGTTCATGGTGATACTGGTGATATTGGTGCTGGAATGAGTCCGCGGTATGAGACAAGGTCAGAGTCCAGTCAACATAGCAATGGACTCGCTCTATGCGGAATTCACCGCCTTCCGTTTCCCTGATATGTGGTCACATGATACGACACTGAGCAAGGTGCATTTTGCTCGATTACAGAGGTTCCTGAACAATATACTCCTGGGATTACAAGTTTCGAAATTTCGATATCTACACATTCTGGTACATATGTTTGTGCATACGATTACACGATTCTCGCTATGAAGCTTGCATTTGCAGCCTTAATCCCAAGGCTGCATACACAATAGGCGAACTTTCAGCGGGCCCGCAGTGGGCACGCCTGAAGAGGAATAGCTCCAAGCTCCCAGCGCCATAAAAGAGCTTTCTCCCACCAAAATTTCTTTCTCTTCACTTCAACACCCACATCTTGGATATCGACAAGTAGCTCTGACTTTGCAGGTCAAATATCAAGGTTTTCTTCATTCGATTATGACCTTTTAACATTTGATGGTGAGTCCTTATCTTTTCTACCAAGATATGCGCGTTGTGTCCTTTACATGATTATTCAAATACTATAATCTGTCAATCCCCTGAAGCTCAATTATTATATCTCACAATACGAGCACATGTGACTGAGAAATGTATCTTTTAAATGATTCGGACTATCATCTTGCTACTTGATTTCTGCTTAGACCATGTCTGGATTATATGCTAATGACGGTGTCTTCGCAACAGTGGTCCCATTTCTAAGAATCTTTTACTTTCCGTTAGACAAAATGAATACCGAACCTAATCTCCCTATTCCAATCTCCTATATTGCGGGTAGTTACTTTATCTTCTCCATCGATGCAGTCACGTATTTACGACGGGAGCATCACATCTGTGGTGTCTTAAGCGGCACTCTGCCGCAAATCCCCCAGCAGAATGTCTTCCTTGGGTTGCCGCTGGAGCTGATGGCGGAAGAGGCCCGTCTTCTGGTGGAGAAAGGTGTAGCATGCATCGTAGATGAGGTAAACGTCCAAACCGATGGGATGAAGGCCCTCATGGAGGCAGACCGGCAGAGATATCTCCAGGAGCTGCAGACCCAGGGCACCCAGGTCATGCAGATGCAGGCTAGCCGGAAAGAACAGCAGAGGGAAGAGGCGCTCAAGAAGATAGAAGAGAAGAAAGCTGCAAATGCTGCGAAGAAGAAGGCCTCCCAGCCACCACCACCACCGGAGACACCTGCAACGGACAGTACCACCAAGGATGATGAGGCGGTCGTCGGCCTCTTTGCAGGCGACCAGAAACAGCAACAGCAGCAAGGTTCTGATCAATCCTCTTCACGGCGTCCCTCAACCGCCACTGCCTCGCATGCCATGGGAATAACACCCGCTACATCGCACTCGCTCCTTCCCCTCGAACCATCGGCACAGCACAAGCTGCCTCTTCCCGACGTGCCTTCCTCCTATCCTCTATTCGCTCATCTCCACTCAGAAGGCTATTTCCTTTCCCCAGGCCTCCGGTTCGGATGCCAGTACCTCGCGTACCCGGGTGACCCGCTGCGCTTCCACTCTCACTTCTTGGTTGTGTCGACGGGGTGGCATGAAGAGTTAGATCTGATGGAGATCATCGCCGGCGGCCGACTTGGTACGGGCGTGAAAAAGGGCTTCCTTATTGGAGGAGCGGACGAGACTGCCTCGGACCATGAGTCGCGAGAAGCAGACGATGTTAGAACGTTCAGCATCGAATGGGCCGGAATGTGAGGTGGACTTTTCGATCCTGGCATATCTTGTGCCAACCGTCTCTATGCTGCGCTGCGATGGCAGGACATCGCCATGGTTCATAGGAACTGGTGGTGACGACTCGAACTTCCGTCTCGTCGGTGCTCCGCCCAACTCCGGATTGTACTCTAGGTGGATTTTACTGGAGTCCATACTTGGGCTCTACTCCGCCCCGACGTCAGGTTCCTCTTACAGCGTCACGATGCATCATCGCCGTAAAACAGCAGAAAGCATCACGTGTTTCCACGGCTCTACCCTGCTTAAATTGTTGGCTCGCTGCGCCGATGTGACTATCGAGGACCTAGCTCTTATATGGGCACCCACAAGAAATTCAGTTCGCCGTGAAACGCGCCTTCGCTTGGGAAGGCATTGATCTCCCTTCCATAACAAAATGAAATTTACAAATTTGTTTGCCGATGTTAATCCGCACCATAAGCTATCATTACAATTCAATACTATACAAATCTCAATGGCGGTAATACAATAATACGTGGTAAGACACCATAGTGGTAGACCTGTTAACACAGGTTGATTTTATATGGATCGCAGGCTTTGCTCGGTAGTGCCCCTCCCATTTTCAACAATGGTCGCAGCCAAGTTATGGGGATGAGCGCTTGGACTTGACTGGTAGCATACGCTACAACACTCGCCATACAACGGGGCAGTACACTGCAGGGAGTCCATGGATATAGATTCGCGATATGAGACGACCGTCTAGACATTCACCCAGGATTGGTGACTACCAACGTTCGTCCAAAACACTACATTCCCAACTTATCTACAATTGTCACCCAAGGTATGGCAGTGTCACCAATATCGTTATCTATGGGAAACTATCCTCCTTATATAATGACCAGCATCAATCGGAATTCCCCGTTTCGCAATGGGCTCTTGTAGGCCATACCTGAACTTTCGCAGCTCCACCTATAGATAATCCACATTTCTCCATTTGAACTTCTTGTTGGCCCTGTCGACCGGGCGGTTCTCAAATTGGCTTCCGTGGAGCTCGAAGACCAAATTCTTGCCCGCACTTGTATCACCGCTACCTTCCGTAGTGTCGTTTTGAGGCTCCGGTAAAGGAACACTGAACCGAAAGACTGTATGCTCTTTCGGCACAGCTAAAACAGAAACCGCGTTAGAAACGGTCATCCCACCCCCAACCTCCAGACACACTTACTTTTCACCTCATCCTTCTCCGTAACAACCACAAACGTAAACATCGTATCCCTAACCACAATCCCCTTTGTACTCACGCGACCCGCACACCGACTACGCACAACCTCCACCTCAGCGCCATGAAAATCTGCAGACACCAGTTTACTCCCATGCGACAACGGAGTCACCGCAAACTGACCAGGCCGGTCCTTCACATCAAGAATGTCATGCATATACTCCACCCACAGCTTATGGAGCTCTTTGAAAACCGCATATTTGCACTCCTCCTTGGGCAGGTCGTACAGGCCGGAGGCGCGTTTCTGGCGCGCGGAGAGCGGCTTGGGTTTCTGTTTGCGGAGGAAGTATTCCTTTTTGCGGAGACGGTGTAGACGTCGGCGGTTGCGGTTGTCGGCGGGGGTGGGAGATGTTGGGCGCAGGTAGAGGGGTTTGTGTTTTATGCGCTCTGTGAAGAGTTGCTCGGCTGTGTCGGGGGCGTGCGCGCGGGAGAGCAGCTCCTGGCCGATGTGTGGTTTTGGGGTTGTTGTCATGGTGATTGAATGGCGTTGGTGGGGTTGCGGTTTCGTAGTTATAAGAATGTATGGGTGGTACCCATTGTGTTTGTTCGGTGGTATGGCTTTGGTTGTCGTCGTAGAAATGAGAGTCGCTTTGAAGGTGAGAAAATGTTGGAGGTTTCTTATCGGGACTGATAAGGTTTCATCGCGCTATTCCGCTTTAGGGTACCTGATCTATGGCCTGGGATAGCATCATGGATCCACCTGGTTTGTTGGCCTATATTTTGCAATGTATCTCATCAAAGCTATTCGACATGTCATGCTTATCTTAATATTTCATATAATTTGGTATTATTGATGCCTCAGTTAGAAAGGCTCTAAAAACATCCGTCATATAGTAACTAAGAACAACTGTCTAATACAAAGTCCTACATTGCTGGCAAGCCGACATCATACAAGGACTTCATAACCTGCAGGTAAGTCAGTAAAGCTATGGTTATAATTTTCCATTGTCTGGCTAATACAACAATGCAAACGACGTGAGCAACTCAGATTTGTCAAGTTAACTTTATCCTCGGCTGTGACTTTCCCCGCACGCGAGGCAACTTTATATATCCAGAAGGCCCATACTAACATCCCCTGAGATTAAAACACACCTCCCAGACTAAGAGGCTATTGCTTCAATTTGATCTACTTTAGATTAGAAAAGCTGCAACATCTATCATGGAGCCTGAACCGGAAAATTTCATCGGGCTACCCCCCTTCCCCTCGGACGTTCCAACCGCACCCCTTCTTCGCCTGTCCCTCTCGAAGCTCCTAACCGAAGATGAAACGGAAATCAAACGACTGATGGAAGCATCTGAGAAAATAGGTTTCTTCTACTTGGACTTGCAAGAGCCGAGCTGTGGGAATGGTCTCCTAAATGATGCGGACAGGCTGTTTCAGACAGGCAAGGATCTGTTCTCTCTCGACCTCGAGGAGAAACAGAAGTACGATTTTAGCAGTCAGAACTCCTACTTTGGGTATAAGTCACAAGGTGCAGCGGTTGTAGACCGTCAAGGGAATCTGGACCGTAATGAGTTCTACAATGTACCGATGTCAATCAGGTGGCATGAACACCACACTAACAACCTTCAGGTCTCGAAGGACGATATTCTAGGCGTGATGGATCCGCTTCCTGCTCCAGACATTCTGCTTCAGAGGCGTGGCTTATTGGAGTCGTTCATGAGATCCTCCCACTCGATAGTCACCCTCATCCTTAATCTCCTCAACACCGATTTGGACCTTCCAAACTCCACGCTAGCGAATATACACCGTTTGACCGCACATAGTGGTGACCAAGTCCGGTTTATCAAGGCACCACCGCAGCCTGTAAATGATCGCCGCACAGCCATGGGTGAACACACTGATTTTGGCAGCGTGACTATTCTCTTTAACCGTATTGGAGGACTACAAGTGCTCCCACCGGGCGAAGGCGCAGAATGGGTGTATGTGCGGCCGTTGCCCGGACACGCCATCGTCAATCTGGGAGATGCGATGGTGAAGTTCACAAATGGACTCTTACGCTCAAATATCCACCGTGTGGTATCTCCACCTGGAGACCAAGCCGATTCGACGCGCTATAGTCTTGTCTATTTCGCCAGGCCAGAAGATAGCGTGATGTTGAGGAGGTTGGAGGGAAGTAGTAGAATCCCTGTTCTGCAAGATGGGGACGTTGAAGAACAGGTCAACAGTAAGGATTGGATCATTCGCAGGGCTCTGGGTCGCAGGGGAGATGCTAAGGATATTGACTTTGAAAAGTCTGCTGGAACTGAGATGTTGAGTCGGAGGATCAAGGTTTAGGTCATTTCTTGTCGAGTGTATACGAAGATTTAGGCTTTCAAGTTGGAGGAAATTTTGACAAATGGAGTGAAATAAGTTGAAATGCAGTGATTTCATATCTAAGTATAAGCCTGATGGGGTAAATTGGTTCTTGTATGTTTCTGGTTGTTCTGGCGACAACCTGCTGTTGACAGGTACCCTGATCAGTGAAGTGACAGCGAAACCCACAACATCCCCAAGCAAGGATTCATCTCTGGTGTATCTTTCCCGGGACATCTCTTACTTGCACGTCATTTCATATTCCCAAGGCCCCACAGTTTATTTTTGAAATATCTTCCATTCTGGCCTCATCCATGCCTTCTTCTATCTCACACCCTCTCACCCCCTCACCCCTTTACTTCATCACCAGTCACTAGTTGTCTCATGAAATTCATTCATTGCTCCCTAGTATCCAAGAATATCTCTTTTTTACTATTAATAGCTAAATGTCACTTCTTTTCACCTCCGTGATAGCAAACTTGTTCCTCAGTTCATCATCCATACAGTGAGTGAAAGCTGATAATCAACAACCTAGAACTTTGAAAGACTCTCATTGGTCTCACAGTATCTTTATATAGCTATCTACACGACCAATAATCTTCGAATCTGTCAAAACAACCTCAAGTATTCATCGCTGTAATGGCGGTGATAATATTGGTGCACCGTACCAAGTTTGATCAGCAGGGTGGATTATGTCAAGCATGGACTACCTACAAAAGCCATCTGTCTCTTTCTTTATATGTTCTCTCATTTTGCTTCATCTTACCTTCTCGGGAAACATCTAGCTTGACGTTGTACACCAATTATCAGATCCATACATGGTGCCGTCCTATCAACCATGGGCAACACAGCTTCGCGAGAGATGCCTCCCGGCTTCAAACTCAGAGAAAGCACCCCACCATCGCGAGATGCACCTCCCAGTTTCCATACTGGAACAGATTCCCTGCCTTCCCCTGTCAGCAGTTCATTGAGGACCCCCAGGTCTTCTTTCTCCTCCGATCTAATTTCACCATGCTGGTCACATAGATCGCAAGGTATGCTGTACTCCTCGAGGGAAGCAGTGTGGTTTGAAGAAAGCTGAAAAGCATACTAGGTCTAAACTCGTTCGAACAACGCGATAGGAGCTCCTCCCCTTCCTCCACCGAGCCGCGCACACGGTACCAAAGAAACGCGGATACCTTTACATATCATTCAGATGTCTTGGTCGAAATCGAACATCGGCGAGATTGCTTTTTCGAGCAAATTTGGGGTTTGGTTCAACCGCTTTTGGGCCAGAAGCGGGTGGGCGATGTAGAAGACATTGTTAGCCCTGAAATGCCACATTATCGGACGCTAGAGGCGCAGCCTGAAGGGTATAGTCTAAAATTACACGTTTACCTTTGATAATTTGCTAACTTGTGTGCTAGGCTGAGGGGACAATTGAAGTCGTATCAACTGGACGGACTAGCGTTCTTGCTTTATCTAAGAGACAACGGCATCGGGGGTATCCTCGGCGATGAGATGGGCCTGGGTAAAACCATACAAACGCTGGCTCTCTTCCAACACGTCAAAGAGAATGGAGATCTCGGCTGCGAAAATACCGCGCCATTCCTGGTAGTTTGTCCCCTTAGCGTCGTGGAGACCTGGGTCTCTGAAATCACCAAATGGACGCCTGGGTTGAAAGCTGTAGTCTACCACGGCTCCCCCCACGACAAGGCAGGCACCAGAAGAGAAATCTCGAAATTTAAGCAAAAGAAGGAAGATCGTCCACGAGCACATGACATTGATATTGTTATTACCACATATGACTCTTTGATTTCAGACATACTTTGGTTTCGCAGAGTGTTTGTTTGGAGATACGTGGTTCTCGATGAGGGCCATCGTATCAAAAACGACCAGTCAAAAAGGACCCAGCAGCTTGAAAAGGTCAGGGCCGAGTTTAAACTAGTACTCTCAGGGTAGGTCAAACGTTCATGCAGGCTTTGCTCCAAGTATATAAGCTGACAGGAATATCCACACAGCACACCCATCCAGAACGATTTAAAGGAGTTGTGGTCGATTTTCCGCTGGTTGTATCCAGGAGTTTTCTTTCCCCAAACAGCTAGGCTTTTTGAGGATTCTTTCATCTTGAACGAAGGAAAGGTTGACACAGATTTCCTTGACCACGTCAAAGCATTCTTGAAGCTTGTTATGCTTCGTCGATCAAAGGACTCTCGCGAGGTAGGACTTGATATCCCCCCAATGAGGGAAACTATTTTGTCTGTGCCACTTTCTCGGATGCAGCATTCATGGTACATGGGAATTCTTACAGGCGTCGACCAACCGGTAAACGAAGACGGCGTCAGCACTCCATCGAGGGACCACAGCGCCGAACCAGATTGGCAAGAAGCGTTGTGGAACAACGGTGATACCTTATCCCAATCGACGATCCGATTGCCCCAAATGAGGGAAAAGAGGAAATACAAGATTCTGGCAAATACCCTCATGGAACTTCGAAAGGTGCGTTATGCCATTGTACTTCTGCACTCACAGAGCACTAAGGTGACATACGACAGTGCTCGATTCATCCCTACATGCTACGTGCGGCTATCCCGGATTCAGATCCATCCGCGAAGGACTTGGTCGCTGTATCAGGAAAGTTTGTTGTCCTAGAAAAGCTTGTCCGAAACTATCTTTCCGAAGGAAGAAAAATTATCATATTTTCGAATTTCGACCAAGCTTTGAACCTTTGCGAGGACATGTTGGAAGTGCTCAAAAGCCAGACGAATTTTGAATATGCAAGACTCGACGGCTCAACTTCTAGCGCTTGGCGAAGACTTTCTGTTCACTTGTTCAACAATGACGCAAGATACATGGTCTTCTTGCTTGCGATTAGGGCAGGTGGCGAAGGGCTCAACCTCGTTAGCTCCTCAGTCGTTGTGTTCCTCGACGAAGATTGGAACCCGCAGGTGATGAGACAAGCTGAAGCAAGAGTCCACCGGATTGGTCAGACTAGGGCAGTTGACGTTTTCAGACTCCACTCGAAAGGTACTGTAGAAGAGCAGATGGGCCGCCGTTTGCTAAAGAAGGCATACCTCGCCGACAGAGTCGTTGAGGATCGGGCGCTCGATGTTCCCGGGTCACCAACTGAGACCTCAGTTCCGCTGGTCTGTGACGAACTGGAATTATCAGAACTTACCATCGCCGATGTCAGCGAATGTGACTGGTATTCAGTACTGCAAAAATGCACAGCCAGCCAGGCGAGAGGTCCAGAAAGCCCAGGGAGGCCGACTTCCTCTGTCGACGAGAAAGAGTGGTTGAAGAGAGCCGAAGGCGTAAAAACGAACATCTTCAACGGTGCAGTCATCGACACCACGTCGACATCCTGGGCGTGGGATCATCAATCATTCATGACCCTTAGTCGGGCCGATCGTCGCATCGGCAAGCAGAGGACAACATACGTTGACGATTGGGAAGTCTTGACGGAAAATATAACCAGTGACAAGCGGACAGTCGCTGGCAAATCCACTCAGGGAAAGGATAAAAGAACCATATCTAATGAACTGGTAAGTACAACATTTCAGATACAATGATCCAAGGCTAATAAGCTCTAGACATGCTTTCTTTGCAAAAGGTTCAACCCTTGTGCCTGCACTAACTGCCCCCGAGCGTTCCACGAAGAATGTCTCGATTTGGTAGATGCTGTTTACCACATCAACAAGACCAAAATATGTTGTCCACATCATTACTGCACCAAGTGCCTCCGGTCGACCTCGGATTCTGGTAGACTTTTGTACTGTTGCATTTCTTGCGAATGCGCGTACTGTGAAAATTGCTTAGACTGGGAACAAACTGAGTTTGTCGGGGCCAATCCAGCATACCAAGTCCTTGGCCACTACCCGGGAAACATGTTCTATGTACGCTGCGTAAAGTGCGCCAAAAAGAGAGACGGACTATTTGAAGTTGACCGCACTTTGATTAAACGGCCCAGACTATTCTGACATACTCCCCACGGGTCAACGGCATGTTTATGGGTGGTGTGGCTAGATGGACAGCGTTTTCGCGGTTAACTATTCGCCTGAAGGAGACCCCTAGTGCATCAGATTGAGAGATGGGATTAAGTCGCCTGACATACAGCTACCCTTTGGCCCGGTGTCTTTGCTTGGAGAATGCATCAGTCTTGCAAGAGCAATGGTCAAAGTTGTTTTGTTTCAGGCCGAATGGTTGTGTCGAGAACCTTAGTCTTTTTTTAAGTCAGGTCGCAACTCATATGTGTGCTTCGTCGCGGATCCTGTGGTCCCTGTAGCCTAGGTATTGCATTCCCTAGATGCATAAATTGAATTCTTCTCAGTCAAAAGTAAAATTGCGGTGAGATTATTGAACTTCGTCCAGTCTCAACCACAGCTTGTTTATAGACAAACATCCTACTAACCCAAGACCAGGGCTCATAACTTGCACAGCTTACCATCTGGACGCAGGATAGACAGATAAGATCTCTGAATTTCGCTGATAGTCCGACACCTGAAACAACAATTAGCGAGGCACTAGCAACGCAAAGAGAAGGAGAAGAATACTAACCCAGCCAACGCCATCGTAATTTTCAATTCCTGGCGTAGAATCTCAATTGCTAGCTCAACGCCCTGTTGCCCATTGTACTTTTCCTCGTTAGCACATCGCACATACACAGGAGACATATCACTCACGGCAAGGCCCCAAATGGGAATCCTTCCAACAAAGCAATAGTCTGCTCCCAAAGCCAGCGCTTTGAAGATATCCGAGCCACGCCGAATTCCACCGTCAATGGCGAGAGAAATACGTCCACGGGCAAGTGGAGCACATTCTCTCAAGGTGTCCAGCGTCGCGGGGATACCGTCTAGTTGGCGGCCACCGTGGTTGGATATGACGACACCATCGACACCGCATTGGATGGCCAGTTCTATGTCTTCGGAACAGCTAACTATAATTGCACGGCTTAACTTCCAGTATGGTTTGTGTATCTTGTTTCGGGTGGCTATGGGCTTACTTACTTCCTTTCAACCAAATCTGGAGGAAGGTGTGTTTTCGGAGCCATGGGATGGTACTCTCCCAATCGAGACTAGGATCTAGGACAATCAGTGGATGACTCGGCTGGCGTGGTATGGAGAACTACTCGCCATATTCGGTCCTGTTCGACGTGTCTCCGCCATTGCTGAGAATATTCGGCCACTCCATATCTTCGGGGAGCTGATAATTGTTGCGATACTCGTTCAGACGCTTGCCGAGAACAGGGACATCGACGGACAGAAACAGAGCTTTATATCCTGCTTCTATTAAGTTGAGGAAACCTTTTAGTACAGCGACTCGAATCCAGAAGAAACGCAAGGCATACTCTCTGCGCGCTTGAGCAACTGAAGCGTAAGTGACCGGTCCCGCAGCACACACATCTGCATCGCATACGGATTCCCTAGGCCCTGAGCCGCCACGTCTTCTAGCGAGTAGTTTGAATAGGACGAGAGACCCATGCAGATTCCGTGTTTGGCGGCCGCGCGGGATGTCGCGAGCTCGCCGTCCGGATGGGCGAGTTTCTGAGACGCGGCGGGACTAAATCCGAAGGGGAATGCGACCTTTTCTTGGGATTATCACGAGAGTTTTGAACCAAGATATACGGGAATAGTTGCAAACCTTGGTATCTAGTATAGTGGTGCTTGTGTCGATCTGATTGACGTTTTTCAGAACCCGGGGGCGGATCTTGTAGCGATCGAAAGCGGCTTCGTTCTCGCGCAGGCTGGTCAAGTACACATTGTTAGAGGAAAACATGGCAGGCTCTTGGAAATGGGGCTACTGTACGTTATGAGGTCCATAGAGCCTTCATTATAGTAGTCTATCCTTGTCAGCAGTGTAGTGGCAATGCACTGCGTAGGAGTCTAACCTCGCACCATCTTGGGGAGCCGGCTGCTTCCCAGCGCCTTGAGGTCGGCAATGCATGACACGTCCTTGTGGAACGACTCGCCACGATGGGCCATAGTAAAAAAAGAAATTTGCTAGAAAAGGATGGAAACTTGAGCCTGGGGAGAGAAATGGTATTGTGGCAAGGGATTACTTTATACTCGTCGCAAATTGGGCAATGCGCCGGATAGGCGTCTTAAATCAACCGTTTGAACCATTATATAGTATTAGCCAGCAACTTCACAAGTCCTCGCAGACCAATGATAGGTTCAATTGTATGAATGACCATCTGTCGATCATTCGAGTTTCAATACCCCAGGAAACAGTTCCCTATCGTGTTATCACCGCTTCTCCTCCAAGACCGGAACGACTTGCCTTGTCTGTGGAGTTGAGCAAAATCTTAAATATCAACACCACATGCCCCTCAATGAGGGGTAAATAACATAGACGCATGTTCCTTTCAATCAGGGTATAACACTTAAACTCTGACAAGGACAATGACGCGAATCTTTCTGTGCGTTTTCTCTACCTTGTAGTTAGCAAAATGTACTAATCTTTCTTCCCCATTGCAGCACAGGTGCCTCGGGCTACATCGGCGGAGATATTCTACATCTCTTAAAGTCAACACACCCAGAGTATGCTTGCAGCATCTTGGTGCGTGACAGCACGAAAGCAGCTGCTATATCGAAGAAATACCCCGATGTGCGCGTCGTCCTAGGTGATCTTGACTCGACAGCCCTGCTAGAGCAAGAAGCTAGTCAGGCGGACGTGGTTGTCCGTAAGTAAACCAGATATCCAAAAATAATACTTGCTAAACTGGTCCAGATGCTGCCAGCTCCAGTCATATCAAAAGCGTCGAGGCCATCGCTCGTGGCAACCCAGGTACGTTCTAAACTAGTACTGGCTTTGATAAATGTTGACAATTCCAGCCTACTGGATCCAGGTATCAGGCGCAAGCGTGTTATCTATCTCCGACATTGTAAACGGCAAATATGGGGAAGGAACCGACAAAACATTTAGCGATTTGGCCGACGCCGACGAGGTCCGAGGGATCATTCACCAGAACTCCGCCAAACGAGCCGTCGACGACTTCATCCTCAATCTCACCGGCCCCAAAACAGCACTTATATTCCCTCCAATAATATACGGCCAAGGCAGGGGTCCCACCAAGCAGCGAAGCGTGCAGATTCCCGAACTCGCGCGAGTTGCAGCCCAGACGCGAACATCAGTGCGGGTTGGACGTGGAGAAGCCACGTGGAGTAACGTCCACATAACTGATGTCAGTGGCCTGTTTTTGAAGCTGGTTGAGCGAGCGGCAGCTTTTGATGGAGATGGCGATTTGTGGAATAAGAACGGATTATACTTTCTCGGTATTGACGCGATGGTAAGTGGGTGTCTTAATACTTTTTAAGGGCATGGCATGACTGAAAATTGCAGAGTTTCAAAGAAATTGCACAGATCATTGCAGACGAGGCATACGAGCTTGCATTGACTGATTCTGCAACGGTCAAGGAGATCAGTCATGAAGAGGCGGATGTCCTGTCAGGACATGCGGGGATTCTCTGGGGTACCAACGCCGTGCAGAACTCCCAACGGGCTCGTTTGTTGCTGGGTTGGACTCCAAGTGGAAGGTCATTACAAGAAGAGATTCCTGTCACTCTTCGTCTGGAGGCGACTCGACTAGGGTTGCTCTGAATACTGTAGCCAATGTGTAGCACCTGTTGCAGCACATGTATAGTTTGAAGTCCAAGAACTGACGTCGATAATATTGCAACACAATAAAGAACATAGCTACTAGACTACAAGAAGTAGTTCAACGCTTTTGGATTTCGTATGTAACCTTGTATTCTTTATTGAGTCAGGGGCTCGGTTCTGATGCGCTAAGTCCCCATTGCAATGAATTGAAGTAATCGCGGCCTTCAAAATAATCTTTATTCACTCTCTAGCGTGTGATTTGTTTTTGAATAAAGTTTTTTTCTTTGAATTGAGCAAAGCCTTAGAGACATACAGTTGTAGAGTAGCGTCCGACTATATCGTCTATCGAGACCAGATTAGGGCTAATTCCCAACCAGGAAGGAGATCCCGATCAGCTGACATCAACAGCGGGACCAACTACCCATCTCAGCGGGGTTGTCCAATCTCCAACTATCTCAGTTCTCTTTCGATCAATTGATTTCATATGATCAATACGCATTGGATCAATATAACACAACATTCCAGACATCTGTCGATTCGATTACTCCGTCCATCGTGCCCATCATCAATGGCCCGATGACGCACTCCTCATCAGGGTCGCTTCGCCCGCGTCGATCCCACGCCTTGGGAGCTTGTTCGACGTGTAGACGTCGCCACGTGAGATGTGACCAAAAAAGACCCGCCTGTCGCTCTTGTCGCACCCTGGGCTTGCGCTGTGAAGGCTTCCCGGGCAAAGTGCGCTGGATGCGCTCCAGTGGCGTTGGTGAGGATGGTGCTGAGGATATTCATCATGGAACTCGCCGGCATCTTTATACCGGTGAATATACGCCCCCGAACTTCTGAATTATGTACCCGGCCTAATTCGCTTGCTTTCTGTCTTATTTGATAGAGCGTTCTAGATTGTCGATGAGCAATTCGCTAGGAGCGGATCTAGTATCAGGCTCAATAGATGCCTCCTTGGCCGAAATCGACCTCAGATCACGAGACCCAACACGATCTTCAGAGAGTGAGATCGTTGTTGGTCCATTCTCAGTTCTGGATTTTACTCCATCTCGGCTATCAGGAGATCGTGTCTCTGCTCGGCCTGCTGCTCAGGAGGTGAATCAGGAATCCCCTGTGACTCCAATGCCACTAGCTGCACCCATCCCTCCAGGCGGTACCGGTGTTAGTGATACATCTACGTCTGGCCCTGCACCCTCCATGTTGGAGTCTCTAGAGTACATGGATGACTTTCTTCGCTGGTCTGATATATTGGGGTTCAGCCCCGACCAACTGGGATCCTCTTTACAGCCTCCGTTCGATGTCGGCCTAAGTGGCTACGGAGATTCTTGGGATTTGACTTCGGAAACCATGTTTGGGTCTGGTTTGTTGGTCATGTCCGATCATATCCAAAACTCTTCCCAGGGACCAATTTCAAGTCACAATGCTGTGGGTGTGGGATCAGAACAGTTGGATATTCTGGCGGACGTACCCTTCTTATTGAAGCATTTTCAGGATATCGTACTCCCGAAGATGGTAGCGATGCCTCTTGGTCAAAAATCTCCATGGAAAACGCTCAACATTCCGGGTGCTATGGCTACTTTCGGCGACTTGACTATCCTCGAGACACAAGACATAAGCCTTGCCCGTTTAGCAAACCTCTATGCCATTTTGGCATGTTCTGCGACATACCTCGCCCTAAATCCCAGCAGCTGTTTGGAGCGGTCTGTTGACCATTGGCAAAGCGTAGCGGGTCAAGCGTTTGAGGAAGCTAAAGGCCATATGAAGATGTCGCTAAAGAATGAAACCGAAGAACCGAAGAAGGCCAAGTATAAAGATCAGCTAATGGCCCTCTGTGCCCTGATCGAATATGCGGTCAGTGCATCACTTTCTACATGGCTAACTTCGAAGCGTTGCTAATTTTAACAGGTTATTTCAGGCCAGCAAAATTATGCCCGATGTTTCATGGTCGATGCAGAGCGACTTCTGCGCCTTCGGGGCCTGTCAAAACATAGAATTCCTCAGAAAGCTCGACTTCTGCATCATGTCTACACATGGCTACGGATCGTAGGTGAAAGTACTTATGTATTACACGACTACAGCCCATCTAGCTCTTTCTTAGAGAGCCTCGAATCTAATTTTCGACTTCGTCGTCCCGGTGACAATGCGACGGCCACAAGCGAGTGGAATACGCGGCTAGACGATTTCCTGCGCCTCGAGTCTCGGAACCCAGACTGCGATCTCAATATTAATGAGCCCAAGGACCGCGAAACTGGTTTTTATGACATCCATTTGCAGGATTCAAGAAGCTTTCCGGAGACCTTATATAAACAGACCTACGGTATTCCGGAGACATGGTTGAGCTTAGTGTCGCAGACCACCAGGCTCGCAAATGTCATGGAATCTTTCCGTATCGCGCAAAAGTCATACAAGGGAATCAATGTTGAAGCATGGGAGACCCTACATCGACGCAGCGTGCTCTTAGAGAACATGATCTGTTCCTTTAGCCTTGGCCGATCGCGGGATGGGAAAATAGAGGACACCGACACCTCGACGGCAGCACGGCATATGATCCATGCATTGAGCGCAGCTTTGGTAATCTTCTTCTATCGCCGCATCCGCCAGGTTCATCCCGTAGTATTAGGGGGTGAGGTGGACAAGGTTATATCAGCATTGAACCACTTCAATACCGCAATGCCGCATGAGAGTCTTACAGGCCCGGGAACTGCCTGGCCGGCATTCATCGCAGGGTGCGAAGCTATCACGGATTCCCAGCGTGAAGAATTCATGCAATGGCTTAACGAGGCGGACTCCAAGTGCGGGTTTGCTGCTTTCCGAACGGCCAAGGGCATTATGGCTGAGTTGTGGCGCAAACAAGATCAACATCTAGCTACTGATCGTGGGGAGCCTGTCCCGACGTGGATTGACATCACGAGACAAGCGCAATTATGGCCCATGCTTTGCTGAATTTTGTACCACATATTCCCTTCCATGTTGAACGCTGTCTGTTTTCAAGCACCTTTCCCATCCCTCGTCTCTTCTATTTTTACGCGATATGAGCTACGACGTTTAACGACCTCGGAATCAATACTATACGATCTGCTGTCAAGTTTGGTTCTAAGGCGTATCCATTCAGACTCGGGTAGAGATATTGTCTCAAAAATACTAATTAAATAGTCTTTACCCCGGCATCTTGTAACGAACTCTTTAATTCTGCCTGCAAATTCTCGTTAAGCAAAGCAAACGGCTTGCGCAAACCCCCGGTCGACTGACCTCTCAGCTCAACACCCGTTTTCACAGCAGCAGCATAATTGTGCGACTCGAGAAACTTGCAAACCGGCCAGGCTTTAGCCCAAAGCTCGCGTCCCTTTTTAAGGTCTCCCTTCACCGAAACAGCATCCCAAAGCTCAACCGCCAGCTCAGGGATGATGTTCGCAGCGCCCCAAACACCTCCCCTTGCCCCAGCTGCCAGACCATAAAAAGTGAGGGTATCCCAGCCATTAAAAGCAGTGATTTTATCCGACAGACCAAACAGCAGCTCTGTCAATGCAGGGGCATTACCCGATGTATCCTTAAGATACTTGACACCCACATCAGACAGACCAGCAATCTCCGCCGGACTCAGCGCCAACCCCGAAGCAGAGGGGATATTGTAGTAAACAATGGGCAACTTAGACGCGTCGTGAATCTCAGCCATGAGCTCCCTCAACTGCTCCAGGTTGACGGGGTCGTAGAACGGCGGCACGACCATCAGCGCCGCGGCGCCGGTTTGCGCCGCGTGCACGCCTAGCTCGACCGCCTCGGCCGTAGAAGTGCTGCCCGTGCCGGCGATGACGGGCACGCGGCCTGCGGCAAACTTGACGCATAGCTCGGTGAGCTGCTTGCGCTCGGGGAGGCTCATCGTTGTGAACTCGCCTGTGCTGCCGCCTGGGACGAGCCCGTGGACGCCGCTGTTGATGAGGTGCTCGATGTGCGCTTGAAGACGGCTTGAGTCGATCTGGGTCTTGTCGTCTGTGAAGGGGGTGATTAGGGCTACCATTATGCCGGAGAGGTCTGCCATTTTGTCGGGCTTTGGTGGATGCCAGAGGTAGACTGGAGGATGAAAATATTCAACTATATAGAAATAGAAAGGCGTAATGAAGCAAGACAGCCGAGAGGATATAATTCATCTTATATATAGCCTTTGGTAGGCATACTTCGTTGTCCTCCACCATGCGGAACTGCCTTCCTCGTAGGTGAGTCCACTGTTATCAGTTAGGGTTAGCGGGATCACCTTCCTGGATTGGTGCGCAGACTAAACGCGGGGCAGAGAGTGAACCCCTCCAGATATATTCGACGACGAGACAAATGAGCATTATAATCAGCGTGACTGTATAGGCATTCTTACCCTCGGAAAAGAAACCATGGCCAATCTCCTCGTGGAGCTTGTCACCCCGAATGGGCACCGCTACCGGCAGCCCACCGGCCTCTTCATCAACAACGAATTCGTCCCCTCGAGTGGCCAGACTATCACTTCGCTCGACCCCGCGTGAGTATATCATCTACCTTGATTATATCAACTTAATCAGATCAATTCCTAACCTTCTGCAGAACGGACAAACCAATTGCCACCGTCCACGCCGCCAGCGCCGAAGATGTCGACCGCGCCGTTCAGGCAGCCAAGACGGCGCTATCCCACCCGTCCTGGAAAAAGCTCCCTGCGACAGACCGCGGTCAAATGATGGCCAAGCTCGCCAATCTAATCGAGGAGAAAAGAGAATTATTCGCCTCAATTGACGCATGGGATAATGGTGCGTACTATCCAACAAAAACAATAAAGCGCACTAACTCACAACCAGCCAGGAAAACCATACCACGTCGCGCTAGACGAAGACCTCACCGAAGCCATCACCACAATCCGATACTACAGCGGCTGGGCTGACAAAACATATGGCCAAACAATCAGCACGACGCCGGCTAAGTTCGCCTACACGCTGCGCCAGCCGGTGGGCGTCGTGGGCCAGATCATCCCATGGAACTACCCCCTGTCTATGGCGACGTGGAAGCTGGGCCCTGCGCTTGCCTGCGGGAACACGGTCGTCTTGAAGCCCGCCGAGCAGACGCCTCTGAGTGTCTTGGTTCTAGCGGAACTGATCAAGGAGGCGGGATTCCCGCCTGGCGTAGTCAACATCGTTAATGGGTACGGGCGCGAAGCGGGCGCTACGCTCGCGTCGCACGCGCTCGTCGACAAGGTAGCCTTCACTGGGTCGACGATGACAGCACGAGAGATCATGAAGATGGCAGCTGGCACGCTCAAGAACATCACTCTAGAGACGGGCGGGAAGTCGCCTCTGCTGGTGTTTCCGGACGCGGACCTCGAGCAGGCTGTCAAGTGGTCGCATTCCGGGATCATGTCTAACCAGGGCCAGATATGCACCGCGACGTCGCGCGTCTTCGTCCACGAGAGTATCTTCCAGCGCTTCCTGGAATCGTTCGTCGAAGCTGTGGAGAGTGCGCCTGTCGGCGACCAGTGGGATGCGTCGACGTTCCAGGGTCCGCAGGTGACGCGGGCGCAGTACGAACGCATCCTCTCGTATATCCAGATGGCAAAGGACGAGGGCGCTACGTGCGTTACCGGTGGAGAGACCTATGTTCCTTCGAAGGAGGAAAACAAGAACGGGTACTACGTGCGTCCGACGGTGTTCGTCAACGTCACGGATGAGATGCGCATTGTCCGCGAAGAGGTCTTTGGTCCCGTGGTTGTTATCCTGCCGTTTGCTACTGAGGAGGAGGCGGTTCGTCGAGCGAACGACACCACGTATGGTTTGGGCGCCTCTGTGTTTACGCGCGACCTGGAGCGCGCGCATCGTGTAGCGGCGGATATTGAGTCCGGCATGGTTTGGATCAATAGTAGCCAAGATTGTGATCCTCGGGTGCCATTTGGGGGTGTCAAGCAGAGTGGTATTGGACGAGAGCTGGGTGAGGCTGGTCTTGAGGCTTATAGTCAGGTCAAGGCGGTTCATGTGAATATGGGTACTAGACTTTGATAGAGTATATTTTTCTTTGTATGTTCTAGATAGTATAACATGAGTTAGCTTGTTTTGAAAGCCTGAATAGAATGATAGTGTTCTTGCGTACCGAGGTAATAGTATATTATATCCGCAAGATGAAAATGAAAATGATATAATGCGGTGATTGAACTAGAATCGAGCATCCCCAGTCCATACTATCTATGAAGATTGCTTCAGTCTACCAGCATCAGCAGAATTCATATTCACTGGTTATTATACATTGGTACAGAAACTAGATTTACGCCCAGTATATACACATCGACACGACGGCATGGACTTTTCTACAGACAGCTAATAAATATATGCATATAATCATGCATATACATACCACAACACACTTACCCATCCACGTGTATATCCAACATCTGAATTTTGACTTTACTCAGGTGGGTCACAGTACAATATTTTCTCGCTGGCAAAGTATACTTTTTTCCAATTCGTCGTGACTTCCACAGAGTTTGGTTGAGACGGTCCACCGCTTATAACATCTCAGTCATATAACCGTCAAATTTTAGACATGAGAAGAAGGTCATACCAGTTTATTTGTGAAAAGCAAGAAAAATCAGGTAATCTCGTGGTTTTGATCTAGTTAATGCTGTCTTGTATATCTCTGACTAGGTATCAGCGCCATCGGGCAGTCAAAGGAGAGCCATGCAGGCCCTACCCAAGCTTTGCTCGAACTTTGTCCAGAGAATAGACATGTCACCAAGCAAGACAATAACCCTTCAACACGAACGTGTCGGACGCAAGGAGGCTCTACAATTGTACATCCATCTTATTCTGGACGACTCGGAGATTTTGGCGAAGCAACCAGCGGTGTGCGATTCCAATCCCACCACCTGGTTGGTTTTGGCAATGCTCTCAATAGTGGCTTAGCACGACTCATTTACGTATGAATAATCTTAAAGCTGTTTAATAGACATATTTGTGTGCCCTATGCCGGGGATAGGACAGTTCTCTCGCTATCAACGGGGAGGCGAATCTACGCCAAGTCACTCGTGCTTAGCACTCCAATTGGACCTTGTGGACGAACTGTCTCCACTGGAACTGCGCTTCTCTGAGTTTTTTTGATATTCTGGCTTATCTTAGACTCTCTTTAATGTCTAATGTTCTTGGTGGCGCTAGGTAGAATCCAGACGCACGCCTCGACGTCAGTCGGGTCAGACAGACAGTCTCTGGTATATAGAAGCTGGTATGCAACCTGAACCATGGCAGTGCGACAGATACCGATATTGAGAAGTCGTTTGATCAGTTGTCTTCTCACTTGACAGTTAAAAAGATGCAATCTTCGACAACCGCTGCAGAGCCTTCCCACTAGCCATAGCCCCTTGCTCTCTCCCATAGCATCGGTCCGATCATGACACCTGTTGTGGATAGCGGTCTGTCAGTCCTTGCTTCGATCCAAGATCTGACATTAGACAACATGTATTCTTGGTGCGCTCGTTCTAGTACTTGGGACAGGGCTGTCGCCGTCCAGAGAGATGTCTTTGTCGATTCCAACTACGATCTTTCTTTCGTCTTCCGCTCAACGACCGTGATGACCTTTGATACAGCCATAATAGCAGCAGTGATACACTTATAATGAACCCAGAAATCGAAAACCAGCCTCGCGACATGGAGGCTGTCAATGAAGAGAAGCACCAACCAGGGGACACCGGCGTGCTGGACCCAGACGTGCAAGCCGCCAGCCCCATACCATACCGCGACGACGCCTTCGGAGACGAGCATGACGCCGAAATCAAGTACAAAGTTCTGAAATGGTGGTACGCGCCTCCTCGTCATGCCTGTCTAACCACGCTGACCCTAGCCCAAACATAAACAGGCAGTGTGGTCTGCTAATGGTCGCCATGACCATCTCGCTAGGAATCCTCGCGTTGCCAGCAGCCGTAGCCGGCGTAGGACTCGCCCCAGCCGTTGTCATT